CCCCAATGCCTCATCTCATCAACATCCACAGCCAGTATCACCAATATCTAATTGCCATCTCTAACCCCGTGTCACGTCCGCAATTGCAAGCCACAATCTGAACCGCCGTCAAGCCAGTCTCCGCTTCTCAGTATTCTAACTTGCTGTCCGTCCTGAACAGGCACGGCAGGGCCTCTGCTAAGTTCGAGTCCATCCATCGTCGCGCCCCCAGCCGCACCCCGTCCGTACCTTACGGTGTACGACTACGAAGTAAGCTACGGAGTAGTGTGGACGGATACCTGATGGATTATCGACAGGAAAGGGTAAAGACCGTCCGTACCTAAACCGTGATCTGTAGGCACCGAAATAATCCAATCCTTCCTCCCGCAGTCTCGGGTCCTCTGCTTGGCTTAGGTTGGATCTTTGGTCGCACCTGGTCCCCTACCATAAGGTACCTTAGCACCCCTCGGCCTCCATCCACTCGTTGGCGCCAATATTCTACGTGCCTACGTCCTTGGACTTCATTGATGACCACGACGGGGCCCACGAGTGTTGGATGCAATCTTCTTCCCTCTTTACTTTCTTGCCTCGCACTTGTTTCCTTCACTTCATCAACAAGGCTGGCCATCTCACGACGACTACTCAAACCAACAAACTAGAAATCACCAGTGTTGGAACCAGCTATTATTATCACCTTGCATACTTACGCAACCAAACCCTTGCCGCGTAATCACTCACTTCAGCTTCTCTGCGCTGCGGGCTGCTGTATACGTACCCCCGTCCACGACCACTCACAGTTCGCATTTCACCCGCCAACTGAGCCCCCCCGCCCGCACAACCTGGCTCGTCCGCTTCCGATATTCACAGCGCCGACCCCGAGTCCCGACTTCTCATCACCACCTCCGGAGCCTTTTCAGAGGCGCTCTGCCAACACAGTCCCTGTATCATGTTACTGTGAAGAGCGACTCGTAGACTCATTATCTAATTCTCACGAGCAGCGCTCACTTTCCCTGGCTTCGACACTCTCAAGTCTCACCCCCGCCTTGCTGGTGAGGGGCTCACCTCTTTGTCCTCAATCTGCACACTGTTTCCAACCGCCAAGATGGAGGGCATTCGTTCTACTGGCGGCTACATGCAGCGACGCCTGAGTCGTCTGTATAATGACACAAAGAAATCCTCAGACTTTGTTCAGGAACCAGTCAAGGCCCCCGAAGACCCTGAAATCAAGTCACTCTTCAGAAAGCTCCGCATCCAAAAGGACCGCGTATCGACCTGGGGTATCGAGTGGACAGATCCTAGCCAGTCGGATGAGATTGACAGCTCACTATCCAAAGCCGGTCTAAGTGAGGTTGTTCACAGTATCCTTTCGACTGTTCGGGAAACGCTGTCAGAATTGGACGCCCTATGGAAGAGCTATACCAACCCTCTAGGCACAGTCTCAGAAAAGTCGGCAGATCGCAAGAAGGTCTTTGTAACTTGGGACAAGGCGGTATTCGCAGATGCCATTGGAGATCTCACTCAGTCTGTCGATACACTCTACGACCTTTCTAGAACACGCTCATCCGCCCAGATGTCGTCGCGTTCCAAGCTTGAAAAGTCCATGGCTTCCACCGAGGAGCTGCGGCCTTTTGAGTCCACCAGGATGCAGACGCCTCAAGAAATCGACCCGACAACATTAACAAATATTCGCTCTATGCAGGCCGAGCCCATGACCGAGTCCAGGGCTAACCTTCCGCCGCGCGATATCGTCTTCATGAGCAAGCAGGCCTGGTCAGATCTTTCGCAACATATTGGGCGCCAACCCTTTGCGCCGCTCTTGTTAGAGTTTGCGACGTTCGATTCCATGTACGCCATCACAGGTATCATGCCTCCCATGTCGCGCTTCGAGAAGCTGTCAGCCGGCTTGCAGCAGGACTCGCAGAGGGCCCCGGGTACTTGGATCGGTCTGCCGAGACTCCTGGGTTACTTTGAGGATCTGGAGCATGCCCGCCTCGGACTCGTCTATCACTTCCCGCCCAACTTCAACGCCGTTTCTTTTGAAAACTTTACGCAGAACCCCCTCTACAATGTCTGCACGCTCGCCGATCTTTTGTCACGACCAGACTTTGAGCCGACCTTGGAGGCCAAGTATCGTTTGGCATCTAACCTCGTCAACACCGTATTCGACCTGCACGCCCGCGGTATTACCCACGGATGCATTATCGACAAGAATGTGTCTTTCTGCAATATGTCTACTCCCGACTTGACCACGGGCCCCGGCGAGGTGGATATCCGCCGGCCACTGATCTCATCCTTTGATCTGTTCCCAGATGCTCCCTCAGACGATGAGCCAGGCTCGCCATCGCTTCCGCTGTTCCGACACCCCCTGGATCCTCGCACCACTCCGGCATCGCCCATCAACGACAAGATGGATTCTCGCATCCTCGATCTGTACTCTCTCGCCATGGTTCTGTTGTCTATCGGTCTTTGGACCAAGCTCGATAACCTCGTGCCCGACCCCTCTCAGCCGATTCCCGAGTCGGTGTTGAACCAGCTGGGAATCCGTTGCTCCACCCTTTACAAGAGGGCCGTCGAGACTTGCTGGACAGCTGTTGATATGTCACTGCAAGGAAGCACCTCCGACGACGAGCTTCTCTCGGCTGTGCAAGTCAGTGTTACACGCTATCTCGACTCGTGCGCCATACTAGACAACATCAGTTCTCTCGAAGATCGTCTTAACCTCGACCTTGGAAAGAAGACATCCGTGTCCCCGATCGGCACACCTACCCGCCAGAGCATCTCAGGACCCTCGATTGAGACCAAAGTGGTTACACGACCTTCCGTCGACACTCGCCGCTCCTCCTTTGACACCAAGACTCCCATTTCGGAACCCAGCTCTGCGCGCCGTTCGTACCCCTCAGCTGCAGAGGAGAAGCGGCAGCTTGCCAGACAAGAAGTTCAGAGTAAGTACCACACCTCGGAGTTGAATCCTCCAGCACTAACAATACCACAGCCGGCCCGGTAGAGCTCCCTGCCGAGTCCAAGCCTGCCAAGGCACCCTCTCCCAAGACACGCCTCTACCCGCAGATCCCCTTGCCTCCCGATGCTGTTGAAAAGTGGAACACGCTGGTGATGCCTCAAGTCAACCAAGCACTGCGCCACTTTTACCGCAAACACCGCGAGGAGTCAGTCGAAGTCTCCCTCGAGTCCATTGGCAGTTCGCCAACAAGGACACAGCCTACAGTACTGGTTGTGTGCACGTCTGTCAGCAAGGTTAAGGCTATTCTGACGCGCAAGTTGGGCGAGCTCTTCGAGGGCAAGTCTGGGTTCGGGTTGAAGGTCTGCAAGGGCCAGGTTCTGCGGTCACGGAAGCAGGCCGGCGACCCCAAAAGAAGCGCGGCACATGACGATGAAGACGACGATGACACAGTCAAGGCAGCCAACCCCGACTTTCAAGCGCGCCCCAGTAATGGCGCAAGTATCGGAGCCTGGGTGGGGGACCGCCATCTGCCGCCCGTTAGCTTGGGCGGCCTCGTTGTAGTCGACGACAAGCCGTATGGGATGACGGTTCACCACATGCTGGATGACCCCGAGGAGATTTACAAGCACACGAAAGCCCAGGATCCGACGATGCGTAGTATGGCGAGAGATGCTGAAGACATTCGTTTCGACTGGTACGCAGAGTCGTCGGCGGAAAGTAGCGGTGGTGAAGACTATGCTTGCGAGTTCTCGGAATCAGAGGAATCCGGAGCGTATTCGGAGACGGATGTCACTAGCGAGGCGTCGGATGAGGAGGAGAGCGGTGACGAGTCGGAGGGCGAATACGACCAACCCGGCGATATTCCCGGTGTTGAGCCGGGCTGTGGCGATGGATACATCATCACGCAGCCCGCCATGGACGACGTTGACGAGGAATTCTATGCTTCGGCGGAGACGGCAAACGAAGATCACTTGGACAGCTTTACCGTCGGAAAGGTTTACGCATCGAGCGGCATCAAGAGGAGGGAGCAGAACGGACTCATCCACGAAATCGACTGGGCGCTTTTCGAGTTCGCCGAGGAGAGACTACCAGAGGACAACTCGATACCCAGGATCCAGAGCAAGCAGCTCTCACCTTCGTATGGGAAATTCCCATCAAAGCAGGGCAAAGTCATGCACCCCATGACCGTGGCGCCGACCACCGCGCTGCCCGGCCTGGAGGTGCAGTGCATGGCGCGTACCAGCGGTTTACAGACGGGTCTCATTCTGCCTGCTCTAACAAGCGTCAGAATTTTTGGGCGAACGACGCCTAGCCATACTTACCAGGTCAGCAGTGCCGCCACCGAGACGCCTGCCGAGTTGACCGGTGGCGGCAAGAGGCAACCCATGGGCGTCCCCGGAGACAGCGGCGCCTGGGTCGTGGAACGCGCCCATGGACGGGTTTGCGGGCACGTCTTGGCGTGGAGCGGGCGGAAGCGTGTTGCGTACATTTGTCCGATGGACGTCTTGCTTTTGGATATTGCAGTGGCGCTTGAGGCTCGGGAGGTCGGTTTACCCGGCGGCGAGCCCGTTGTCAGCCTGAAAGGTCGTGACGAGGAGGAAGAAGATGAGGGGACATACAGAGACGACGAGCCTTCTTCGTCGCCTTTTTTAGACCCCAAGGATGACGATGATTTGGATGTCGTTTCTGAGGAAGGGGACGACGACGAACTACCTGTTCTCGTCCGGTCACGCGCCCCTCCGCGGGGACGCGGTACCAAGAAGGAAGAAGGTCAACACCAGGACCAAGAGCAGGAGCAGAACCAGAAGCAGGAGCATGACAAGGAGAAGAAAAAGCAGGACGGTACTTCGCAGGAGCGGGAAAAATTTGCTTTGGGCGAGAATCATGATTCATCACGCAGGATGGAGTCTATGGGCATTGGTAGGAGTCGCATGGGCGTCGGCATGTGTAGCTGACTGGCTGAGGGCCTCGGGGTGCGTCCCGCGCCCTGTATTTGGAATACCCCATTTGGATTTTTTTAAGTAGATTATGTAGCATTAATGATGCATGAAGCGAAGTCGTTACATTCACTGGTCTTTTGCGAGCATCATGAGATGGTATCAATGTGAACACTAACAGGATGGATGCACGGTCTGTTTCAACATTGGAAACCCTTGAGAAAGGAAGAGGCAGACGATGAGGCTAAACAAATTGACGATGGAAAATTCTTTCCCGCTGTAAGATGAATGCAAGACGACGGGATACGACGCAACTACATGAAGTCGTCCTCCCAATTCTCGTCGCGGTTCTGGTTGTTCGAGGCCTCCATATTCTCCTCGGTAAAGATATCATCATAAGCGTGGTCCTTTTGCCACTTCTTCTCCTTGCGCTCCGCCATCACGCGAGCCTCTTCCCGTTTCTGTGATTTTCTTCCGTTAGCGTAATTCTCACGAAGCTGTATCTGGGGAAACAGAAAAGAATAAGAGAACTAACCCTCTCAAGACTAGAAGCCTGATCCCTCTTCCTCAACTCTTTCAACCGATCATCCCTCTCCTGCTGCAAATCAGGCTTTTTCTCAACCTTTGTCTTATTCAGCCTATTCACAATCGGATTCTCGCGCTGCGCGACGAGCACTTTCTTCACTTTGCGCTGGTCCTTGAAGGAGACTTGGCCGACGGCCATGCTGCCGTCTTTTTTGAGGTTGGACCAGGGTGTGTAGATGATTGTGATGTTGTCCTTTTTGTTGCCCTCGATGGAGTTTGCTTTTGTGAGCTGGGCGAGGTCGGTGAGGAGGGGTTCGGGGATGGCGTCCCATGTCATTGGGGTTGTTGTGCTGGGGTCCTTTGGGTCCGGGAGGCGGAGGTAGATGTGGGCTGAGGAGAGTTTGTCTACGTGGAACTGAAGGGGGTGTTAGTTTGGGGTCGTGAGGTTTGGTGATGAGAGTGAGGGTGAGTAAGGGTGGTGAGATGAGATTTTGCGTACCCTGTGAGAGGTTAGTGACTGATGAGAGATAGAGGAGGGGGTGAGTGGACTTACCAGACGTCTTCCTCCCAGCCATACTTGATCAACTCCTCATCTGTTCTCCTTCATTAGTGTTTCCCCTTTTTCTTGCATTTCCATCGCTGTGAGGTTGTGATGCGATGTGATGCCATCCTGATACAGCCGAGGAGACATACTCTCAAATTTGTCCTTGCCGACGTAGATGAAGGCGGCCGGGTCCACCGCCTTAGAGGTGAAGTAGTAGACCATCTCGTCGCAATGTCGCTGTTCCTCCTTTGGTTTCCCTCCGATCGGCCTTGTATTGAGAATGGGCGGTAGGCGGGGTTGATACTCGTCCTTTGCGCGATCAAATTTTGGCGGGGTTGCGACTGCGGGTTTGGTGATGGTTGGGAAGGAGAAATTTCGAGGTGGGGGTGGGTCCGGGTTGAGGTACGCTATCCTTAGCAGATAGGCGTCTCTTTATATGCGGTCCATAACAGAGAAGCCGCTACATCTGTTAGTGTAGTGGTCCTCCAACAGGAAGGGGAAAACGACGACCATGTGAACTCAGACAATCAACAAGACAAAAGCGAGGCTCAGTCAGAGCTGCTGCTGCCTGTTCGTCAACTTTGAGTTCCTGATCCTTTCAAGTTTCTGCCTCTCTCTCCACGACAACAACGAATGCGCCCTCGTTCCCAGCCTCGCTACATATTCCCTATCTGCCGGCCACAGAAACAAGCCTTGTTGGCTAAGTGGTATAGCGTCTCACTAGTACCTAGTGACATGAGAAGATCGGCGGTTCGATTCCGCCACGAGGCATCAAGTGATTCAATGAGCGCGCAAGCGCTCACTCAACCTTTTGCATTTTTGGGCTTCAAGAGTTGATTTTCTGACAAACGGATGTGATCTCTGTCGTTCTGTGTGTTGTATTTGTTTTGGCGGGAAAGTCGGCAAGTATTGGAAGTTGGCTGCCATGTCCGTTGGGTTATTTACGCACCTTTCTATTTCCTTACTTAGACATGCATTTTTCGTGGTCTTCTTTACCAAAGGTTCATTCATGCCATTGAGGCCGGTCAGTCTTGATCTCATGCACCACAGCGTCTCCCTCTGGAGCTCATATTGCGACTCCCATCCGCTGACGCACACATTCCGGACACTATGTAACAGCATCCCAGATAGGGGCTGTCGCTTTGCCTTTAAGACTGAGGCCTGAGGAGAAGAGGTGCTTTGATACAATCTACCTAGATAGGTGGTGTCTGTATCGACGAGATTGGCGAGTGCAACTTGATGTTCTGGAGGCCGGGATGTGCCAGTGTCAGTGGGCCATCTATGCGTCGGGTTATTACCTGCTGTTCGTCCGTGGTCTCAGCCCAGATCCGACCATTTCGGGGTCAAGGACGGCCGTAAGGGTGTGAGCTGAAAATGGCAGCTGTATTGATGGTAAAGTCAAGGTGGACTAGGATAACGGTGACATCATAACGTGAGGTACAGCAGTCTTTCTTACGGAGATCATTCGACTGGACGTTACTGGCCACTCGGTATCTCTTTTTTTATCCATACAGGTAACTTACACGATGAGAAAGGTGTTTGGCCATACCGGCAAAGCGGGAAGTGGGTGACAGTGATCAGTGAGGTCTGTGACGTTGGAAGTTACTCTTTGAAAGGAAGGCTCTCTTGCTTCATCCATGTTTTATACACGCAGTAGAAAGTCTGTTATGTCCTGTGGGTGACTTCTGTGAAGAAGTGAAAATTAATGAAAGCTCTCTTTCAGCACACCTAGCTGCAACTCTGAGTATGCCGCACCGCCCCTCTAGCTTGACCTTCAACAGCAATTGATGTCTGTGGGAAACAACAGGGTGCATCTCGAATAATCATGACCGGGCAATGATCTCACTTGTGCCACAAAACGGTCGAATGAAGAGCATCTTTTTACCAATGTCATGGAGGAGTGCATCCTCTACGTCCAATCATCTCAAAGGAACCTCATGCCGTTGGGGGCTCGAGGAGAGAGAAGCTTGGACCACCGAGGGGCATTTGGAGGGGCATTTGGAGGGGCAGAAACTGTCCTCAGCGGTACATATCTCTGAGAGGCAGCGGTGGACCCGCTATTTGTCCATCAAGCACCCTCTAATTGGCCACAAAGCTGGAGCTTCTGCTCCTTTCTCCACCCTCCGGACCACAGCTCCGGCGTCCACGGCAGGCAACCGGGCAGGTAGCAAGGGGGCTCGCGGCTTCTTTGGGGCGCGGCAATGTCAACTCTGACATCAACATGGCGAAATATCTACACGACTGCTTTCTCGACGCTGCCCTTTCACGACACGACTGACTCACAGACAGGAGGTCACTCTGGCTTTGGAGAATGTCCCACCAATGGGGCAAGCAATTGGCACGCCAGCATAGGTGCTGAGGAGGGGGGATTGTAGGTCTCGACAGACTGGTAGCGCAAGATTGACGTCAGGCAGGACCAAGTAACTGGAGAATGAACGACGAAATAGTCCTGGTCGAATGGAAAGACCCAATGACAAGACTTGCTTTATAAGAGGGTAGGATCTGGTGGTTGCTCGTCCTTCCACATTCGATTTCCTACTCCTCTCCTCTCCTCTCTCTCTCTCTCCCGAAACACACATCTCGTGTTTTCTTCGATTCTCTCTTGAAACATGTCCAGCTTTGTCCCCGATACCCTCAAGAAAGCTGGAAACGTAATCATGGGCCAAGGAAACAAGAAGAACGCTCAGCTTGCTGAGAACATGGTCGAGGTCAACCCCAAAGCTCCCATGACCACCGACTTTGGCACCAAGATCGAGAATACGGATGACTGGTTGAGAGTCTCCAACAATGACAAGACCGGTCCCGTGCTTCTAGAGGATGCCATTGCAAGGGAAAAGGTCCGTGTTGGTCTCCTATTTCTAACCGCGCATCACTAACACTACACAGATCCACCGATTCGACCACGAGAGAATCCCGGAGCGAGTCGTCCACGCCAGAGGAGCAGGTGCCTTTGGAACCTTCAGACTATTCGAAAGCGCCGCCGACGTGTCAAATGCCGGCGTCCTGACCGACACATCCCGTGAGACTCCCGTCTTCCTACGATTCTCCACTGTCCTCGGTAGCAGAGGCAGTGCCGATACTGTTCGCGATGTCCGCGGCTTTGCGGTGAAGTTCTACACCGAAGAGGGTAACTGGGACATGGTCGGAAACAACATTCCCGTTTTCTTCATCCAGGACGCCATGAAATTCCCCGACGTCATTCACGCAGGCAAGCCCGAGCCTCAGCTCGAGTTCCCCCAGGCTCAGTCTGCCCATGACAACTTCTGGGATTTCCAGTACCTCCACACTGAGGCCACGCACATGTTCTGCTGGGCCATGTCGGACCGCACCATTCCACGCTCTTACAGAATGATGCAGGGCTTTGGTGTCAACACCTACACCCTCACCAACGACAAGGGCGAACGTCACTTTGTTAAGTTTCACTTCACCCCCGAGCTCGGTGTCCACTCCCTTGTCTGGGATGAGGCCCTGAAGCTCGCTGGTCAAGATCCCGATTTCCACCGCAAAGATCTTGCCGAGGCTATTGAGAACGGTGCCTTCCCTAAATGGAAGTTTGGTATTCAGGTTCTCCCCGAGTCAAAAGAACACGACTTTGACTTTGACATCCTCGACGCCACAAAGGTCTGGCCTGAGGAGCAGATACCCGTTCGCTACATTGGCGAGTTGGAACTGAACAGGAATCCCGACGAGTATTTCACCCAGACAGAACAGGTTGCCTTTTGCACCAGCCATGTCGTTCCCGGCATCGGCTTCTCCGACGATCCTCTCTTGCAAGGCCGCAACTTTTCTTACTTTGACACCCAAATTACCCGCCTCGGCATTAACTGGCAGGAATTGCCTATCAACAAGCCGGTATGCCCGGTCATGAACTTCAACCGCGACGGCGCGCACCGCCAAACCATCACAAAGGGCAACGTCAACTACTGGCCCAACCGTCACGAGGCCGTTCCTCCAGCGAACCATTCCAAGGTATCCGGCGCCTACGTTGACTTTGCCCAAAAGGTGGAGGGCATGAAGCAGCGCACCAAGAGCGCCAAGTTCAAGGACCACTTCAGCCAAGCTCAGCTGTTCTTCAACAGTCTGTCGCCAATCGAAAAGACGCACGCAATCGACGCCTTCGCCTTTGAGCTGGACCACTGCGAGGATCCCATAGTGTACGAGCGCATGGCCCAGCGTCTCGCTGACATTGACCTGGGCTTGGCTCAGGCTGTTGCTGAGATGGTTGGCGCGACGTCACCCGAGAAGGCGAGCACGCCCAACCACGGGAAGAAGGCCAAGGGTCTTAGCCAGCTGGAGTTTGAGCCCGAGACTCCCACCATCAAGTCGCGTCGTATTGCCATAATCATCGCCGACGGCTTCGACCCTGTCGCTTTTGGTGCCATCAAGGGTGCTGCCGCAGCAGCTCAGGCTACGCCAATGATTATTGGTACTCGCCGCTCCGAAATCTTCCCTGCCGGCGCATCCAAGACGGCCGGTAACGGTGTTGTGCCCCACCACCACCTTGAAGGCTTCCGATCTACCATGGTCGATGCCATCTTTGTGCCCGGTGGTGCGGACTCCATCAAGACTCTATCCAAGAACGGCAGAGCTGTCCACTGGATTCGCGAGGCCTTTGGTCACTTGAAGGCCATCGCTGCCACCGGCGAGGCTGTTGACTTTATCCAGACCGCTATCTCGCTTCCCGAGGTTTCGTTGTCTAGCGACAGCAATGTTGCGGAAAGCTACGGCGTTGTCACGATGAAGTCAATCCAGCCCGAGAGCCTGAAGGAGACTGTCGAGATTGTAAAGAATAGCAAGGGCTTCTTGGAGCAATTCTTTTACACCATTGCTCAGCACCGCGTATGGGCGCGTGAGCTTGACGGACTGAGCACACAACTGGCGTACTGATTTAATGATTGATGACACAGGATGGCTGGCAATTGGAGTTTGGCAATGATGACTATGTACTATAATGACAATTGTTGATGAATTTTACGTTGTTAGTTCTCATAGTTTCGTGATCTTACTTGAGTCTACGAGCTGAAGTTGGTCGAGAAGGCTATCTCTGGGGGTAAACGTGTTCAAATGATACAACACCTATGCTTCACCGGAACCTCACAATTACGCCTGAGCATAAAGTTGTATTAACGGATATTCCTTCCTACTCAATACTTCTACCACGATATACCAGCACCAGCCACCTCACGTGCTAGCAGCAGCCGTCGTCGTCACCGGAGCCGCAGTCGTTGCAGCAGCAGTCGTCGCCGCGACCGTCGTCCCACTCGCCGACGAGCTCCCGCTTCCCGACGAGCCGCCCTTAACCACAGTAGCCCTCACGACCTGGCCCAGCGTGTTGACCACGACATTCACCAACGCACTAAGCGGCTCGTACGAGTACGTCTTCTGCGTCAACCCGTTGCCGAGGTCCTGCTGGGAACCAGTGAACGTCATGTTTTGCTGGTAGTTTCCGATGATAGAGCTCAGGGCGGACGTGCCCGCGTTGGTGACCTCTTGCACGATATTTCCCAAGTTATCAATCAAGAAGTTAATCTTGGAGTCACCGTTGACAATGGACCCGAGCAAGCCATCCACAGCACCAATGACATCATCAACAACGTCGCCGACGGTGTCGAGGAGGTTGATGAGCAGCGGGTTCAGATCCAGCGACGCGAGCGTGCGGTTGACGATATCGACGAGGTTACCGAGGCGAATCACGAGCTCCAGCTCGGCTTCGACGTCGACGATGGTGATGTTTACCTTTTCGATGCCGACTTGCACGCCCGCGTTGATGGTGACGAGCTTGGCGACCTCGGCGGCGAGGTTTACTTCGGCCGAGAGGTTGTCCACGTCGAGCTCGATGCGGCCGACGGAGAGCTCGGGGACTTTGAGGTAGACATCTGCTGGCGGGGTTGTGGTGCTGCTGCTTGCTGCGGTTGTGGTGGTGCCGCCGCCGCCGCCGCCGGCGTTGCCTCCGGAGTTTGCGGCGGTGGATGTTGGTGTTGTGGGGGTTCCGGAGGCTTCTGGGGTTCCGGAGGGTTGCTCTGCTGCTGCGACGGAGGTGGTTGCTTCTGTGGTGTCTGTTGCGGTGGGAGTTTGTGCTGCGACGAGGGCGATGAAGAGCGCCAGGAGGAGGGAGAGGATGGAGGACCTCATTGTGGGAGTTTGTGGTGATGGAGCTTTTGCAAATGAGTGTGGTTGTTGGGTTGGACTGGGTCAAAGGAGTGGACGAGGAGCACCAGGTGAGCGAGACTGAGGACGCTGGTGAGCTGTGGGAGGGGACGAGGTCGCGATGGGAGGGCTTGCTGGGGGGATATAAGGCAGCATCGTGGGAGGAGGAGATGGAGGTTGGTAGTTTACCTCTTCCTATCCCAGTAGCAGCCCTCCCCCCTTGTTCATCGCGGAAGTCTACATGACTACATGCAGGTACGTAGGAGGTGCCATGGGTTGAGGCCCATCATCCATGTCACTTACACGCACATGGGATGGAGCATCTGCACTGGTGTAATGGGGCCGCCAGTCTCCATATCTAGGGCGGATATGGGCAGCGGTCCCGAAGAGGCGGTGCCCACACCCCTTTTCCCATGGAGTTCCATTCCCCGGCAGTCGAGCTTCTCGATGTTCATAGGGGGAAAGGAGAGTTGTGAGACAAAGTGACAAGGTGACAAGGTGACAAGCTGCAAGCCACCGGGCCGAAGGGCTGCATGTGGACGGCCATGTTCAGAAAAACCTTGGAATATTCCATGTCTGTGTGGCTCCCCCGGGTTCGGATGGACCGTGGATCGATGGGACATTTGGGAGATTGGCCTTTTGGCCTTTTTCCCATTCGGCTCATACCCCATCCTATCATGCCTTGACTCCTTGAGCCTGCGAGCGTTGGCGATGTTGCATCGTGCGCGAAATAAAAGTGACAGCACTGCCGCCTGCGTCACTTGACGGGGGGACCAGTCGGGGGATTCGCCAGGCGACGGGGGCACCGCGTGCGGAGGTGGCTTCCGAGAACGAAGACCCGGTCCCTTGAGTGTGGATTAAGAAAGAAACTCACCTTGCCTTCCAGGATCTTAGGATGAAGGGGAGGGGGTTAAGTTCATGTATGCTCTTGATGTAGTGACAATCCCGAAGACTGGCTCGTCATCAGACCTGGGACTTGTTGGCTCCCCTCCCCCTCCCCTCCACATCCCTTTTCCTCCATTAGACGAACGATACTTGTATCGTTTGCTTCCCCAGCATCGTTGGATCTGCAGCTCTTCGCTCTCGTTCGCGGCCCCTTCACTTCACTCCCTTCGTCTTGCTTCCATCTCCGAACTGGCCTGCAGCGCCACCATAGTCACTCCTTTGCAAACCAAAGACAGAAACAACATCTTACACTCTTTTCACCATGAGCCTCTTCATCACCAGGGCCCTCGCCCTCCTCACCCTCTCAACCCTGACCCTCGCCCAAGACGAACCAAAGGGCGACGGCTACGTAGGCTATCAGCTCAACCGCCGCGGCGACGACAACGAGTCCGCCGTCTACGAGACGGCTAACACAAAGACCGGCATCGACACGCTCAACCCGATCCCGGACGTGTACCTCAACGCGTCCCTTTCCGTGGGCGAGATCAGCATCGAGGTGCAAAACATCACTGCAAAAGTGAACCTCGACGCCAAAGTCCTGAACCTGCTGCACTTCCAGGCAGGAGTGGACGCCAGCATCGACCGCGTCAAGCTGGGCATCTACAACCTCTCAGCCAAGGTCGAGCTCGAGGCGCGGTTGGAGAACGTGGTGAAGATGGTAGACGATGTGCTCACCAGCATCGACCTGAACCCCGTCATCGCGACGCTGGGTGATACCGTCAGCGACATTGTCAACAAGACCGTCGAGGTCGTCACAGATCCCGTGGAGAGCACCGCATCATCAGTAGCGAAGCGCGACCTGACATTCCGCCTCGAGCACAACATCCTCTACTCGGTCAACGACTTCTCGGGCCGCACGCATACGAACCGCGTGCTGGCGCAGAACGGAAGTCTGTTCGACGTCTACCTCGACAACAGCGGCAACGAGAGCGGGCGCAAGGTTGTCGGGCTCTACAGCCGCGACATGACGTTTAGCGGGCACAACAAGACCATTTCGATTGATGGGCAGGTCAAGGAGTTTGAGCTGCAGTACGTGTATGCGCCGTACCCCGGCCTCGAGGCGTTTAGCAATATCTACCTGGATACCACGGGCAAGGTCGTGAGGACCAAGATTGTGGCTGAGGCGGAGGGAGGCGGCACCGCGACGATTAGCAATGATGATGATGGGAGTAGTCTATAGGCGCGCCCGGATGTAGTCGAGAGTAGTTTTGCAAGGCCTGGAGCATAACGAGAATGAGAATTAGGGACATGCGAGTTACCCGTCGCTCTCAATCGCTCTCAATCGAGATTTGGTTCCAGTATTCCATGATTGCCTATGATGTGATGGCAGCCAATGCGGTTGTGGACGTTGAATTGCCGTCTGAGATGGTGAAGCGTGCCAGTCTGGAAGCAGTCAGACATCCGACGCCTGGATCGTTCGATTTGGACCGCCCGGGGAGCCGCTTCTGGGACGGGGCTCGTGGGACGGGGTGGGATATAAGAGGCGTGCTATCGGCCGGGGTGACATTTTGTAGGAGCTCAGGAGGTAATGTGAAGTCCAGTATTCTCTTGGGACAGTCTCTCGACTCTCGAGAGTATCGCGTCTAGAATGCAACGCGGCCAAAAGCTGCCAGCGCCACAAATCAGATGGCAAAAGAGGCGGTTCGTTCCGAAGGTGTAGGTAATCGCGGGCGATAAATGGGAATGACGTTGTGACGTCGTGACGTTTGGATGATATGTGGCGATGTGCTATTAACTCCAGTAATAGCAGAAACAACCGCTGTTCATTATGCCCGAGCAAACCATCGAGGAACAAATCCTCCGCAGACTGTAACGCTCAGAGTTTTCGGGCTGGGCCTTGTTGGAAAGGGCCGGACGGGAGATCTCGGCCCCCATTTGCCATTATCTTTCTTTTTTTGATGAACCTGGCGGAGACGCACGGCGCGCAATGAGACCATGTCCCCTCTTTTGTGAAGCCACTTATGAAAAGTTGTGAAGTTGGATGTGACTCTGTTGGCCACTTTGGTTGTGACTCTTCTCCGCCGTGTTTGCCGGCCGGGCAAAATGTGGAAAGTGTCGATGTCAGATACGGACAGTAAAAGCCGGTACCGCAGCGTCGCACCCGTTGATGGCCTGGACGATTCAATGTGCCGTCGACTGCGACTGGGACTGCAACCGCAAGCGTAACCACAACGCATTGGGGGGGGGGAGCAATATCAAAGCCTTTTTTGGATCGACTCATCAAACTCACTAGTTAGTGCTAGTGGTGTGGCTAGTGCTTGGTCACCAACGGCTTTTATGGGAAATCTCGCTAACAAGTCGCTTCAAGCTGCCGCTCAACTCTGGAGTCTGAGCTGTTCTAACTTCCAACGGTTGACGCTAGCATCAAAGTTGTATCATTGCTCATCTTTTCTTCTCCTGGAAGATGGTGTGTGTGTGGCTACATCAGAGTCCACACGCTCCAGTTTACCTAAAATATCTTTAGGATTCGAGCCACTGCAGGAACCAACTTTGCCAACAGAACTCTTCCTTGCCATGCTTGTTTGCTCGACGGGGGAAACCAAGCGGATGAAGCTGAAATGGCCCGGCTCTCTTGACTTGATCCGTCAAATCCCTGATGAACTAAGAAACTACGGATAAAGTACCTTACTCATAGACAAACTGGCCCACTGACCAAGAAGATTATAGCTCAGTATCCGCTGACTCCAGGAGTCCAGAGTGACCCAGCCGCTGCCCCATAGCGGCCTTTCCCCGAACTCGATCGCGTGGTTCGTGGTCCCGTCTGCCCACGGCAATTGGGCCAAAACCCAGATTTACAACGGGAGTCTAGGCCCAGCCTTCTCCAGAGACTAGCGGAACGGCCTTTTCTCGACTATGCCCATTGTTGGCAGATGCAGAAATCAAGGCACAGGAAATTTGGCATGTTTCCATCCCTGCCATTTTGAGAGGGGGGATGATGGATCTGGATGAATGCCGTTTTCGTCTGCGTGCGTCTGGGTGTGTCTGACCCGGGCGTCGGCAATGCGGCATCCAGGGCGCATCTCATCCTCTGTCAAGTTGGGTGTGTGTGATGCGTCCTCTGTTATGCGATGCAACCCCGCGACGTGACGAGATGAGAGAGAAGAAAATTTGGTACCGGGCAGTTATAATGCTTGATTGTCATTAGCCACTGCTAGAGCTAGCTGCCCCTATTCTCCTTGAGATGATCTGATAATGGCGACAGACGCGCTCGGCGCTCCTCTGTCACGGCATATCAACCAACGCAAGCCAATACATCCATCCATCCTTCATATTGCAACGTCCATTGTTTGTTTGCTGCACTGCCCGTTCCTATCATCTCATTTCGGGAAAAGGCTAAAGAGGGGGGGGGATCATACGGAAGAAGCCCGGCGATTGAGTTCCCGCTTGACAACTCTGTTGCGTCCCCAATGTGTCGTCATTCAGATGGCATGCTTGCGAATCGCCGTGCCGGGGTGGCCCACGTTGTTGTAAATGTAACCTCTCATGGCCGATAGCGCACGCTCGAGATGGTGATGGTTTTTCTGCTCAACGCCTGCGAGTCGTGTGTGCATTCGACCGAGAGGCGCGTCTGCCGTTGTGCAAGCAAGACTTTACTATCTCCGTGTTACTCGATATCATGTGGTATTCCCCTCACTTTTTAGGTTGCAACACCATTCGATGAGTCCTGGTCTGAAGCCACATGAGATACAACATTCAGCTGCAGCTGCGGAAAGGCTCCAGAATCACAAAGAACTCAAATTTTCCACGGATCCATCTGCGAAAACTACTCTGTCTACCTTGAATTTTCTGTGAAGCATTTGAACCGTAGTGAATTGTCCGTCCGAATGTCTGCTCCTACCGCGTCCTGGTGGTGACTGGACGCGTCTCGGTCCTTCGGAGTGAGTTCATGAATGTTCCCACACCCACTTACTGCTGCATTGCAAGTGAAACATTACTATCTTGCAACGTTCTTCTTTATATCGACCGATACTCGAAGGACTAGCGCTGCGACGGTAGTCTGTAGAGGAAGCCTTGGGTGCCTGCCCGACAGTCGGTGCTCGACTGAGTCACACGTAGGAGAATTTAGTTGATTCTCTCTGTAGTTGACTCATCTCCTCTCTTCTTCGAATCTCCATGATCACTAAGCTGATGTCGACAAGAATAAGACGCAAAGCCCACGTCTCTTTAACATAGTCGAGCAAACGTTTTGTATCTACAGGCACTCGTTCTACTATCCATTGAATGAGGGCACTGAGCCTGTCTACAATCTAGCAAATCCTACTTAACGTCTATGAGAAAGGGAAAGAGAAATTGCTTCGAGCATTTTCTGACATTGGCTTAAGACATCTTCCCGGATCGCTCTTAAGCAGCCGCGGATCCCTGCTGTACCTTGGTTCTTGATGACCCTGACAAGACGAACTTTCGCAAACGGGATACCCAACCCTCTGAAGGCGTCGTGGCATTGTTCTCTTCGGCGACAGGGGCACCTGTATTGGCTTCGGCAGGCATAGAAGAAGGAGATTGCTCCGATATGGGAGTCATAGGCAAGTTCTCATGCTGTGCATCGGAAGGGCCTGTAGCGACTCGAACCCGGGTGGGACCAATCGTGCTCGACTCTGAGCCGCTTCTGGACCATGGTATGACTTGCTGATCGTCGTCTCTTGGAGGATGGGTGAAACGCCACCACCACAGAGCGATGCAGGTGCTGAAAAATGTCGCGATGGCGGCCGAGAGGAATCCGAAGATGATCAGACGCACCGACGGGTTCTTCTTATACTCAAATATGAGGAGTACGATAGGGCCGACGATGGCGGTGAGCGAGATCAGGATTAGTATCAGTTGTACAATCTGGCGCAAGTTGACTGAGTTCGCAAGGTAATAACGAAACCTGCTCTTGTACTTCCCAAGGAAGTGTCGGAATCGTGTGGTCATGATGATGGAGGAGAGTAGACAGGATGTAGGCTTGGTATGGATAATCTACACGTGAAGCTCGTTCTGAGTTGCTGGGCTGATGCTTCCACAACTGAAAACTGTCTATGCTGAACTAGATATAGATGAGGCATTCTAGAGAAAGCTTTTGTACCCTTACATGTGTGTATGGTCCCTCTTTGACCATGGCATTGTCGCTTTGTTAGTTGCTACATGCTGCTCGTCGGATTCACTCTAAAACAAGTGCTGCCGCCATCCCCACTCATCACTGTTGTCCCCAGTGTCTCCAATCAAGCGGTATGGTCTTCCAGTACCGCAGTAGTGGTTCATTCTTTGATTCTTGAGTCTTCATGTATTACTGCGCTGAGCCCCGGTCTGACTTTCCCTCTTGCCCTCTTTTCATGTAAATCACAAGACTGGCAGAGATGGCGCAAAGGCCCGAAGGAAATCAGTCTTCTCACGGTCATCAAGGACGCAAGCGGCAACGGGAGACAACTCTGTTTCAATCCGAGACGCCAGAACCAAGTCCCCTTTATCGTGAGGATTTGGCAAGCTTCATCATTGTTATGTGTACTCTACACCGACATGTCGCATGCAAGTTGCGTCCAAGTCAGGTCCAAAAATCAATCTTCTTCATAGGGGCGGGCCCCTGGCTCATTGGAACCCAACGGCGACTGGGAGACATGCGGAGACACAAAAGAACGGTCGAATAACTGTTGCAAACCTGCATGGCACTATCAAAAATGCAAAAGAATAACCCGAAGAGTGGCTTTGCCAATTGTGGTGAGGATTTGAGCCTCACGCGGGGGTCGAACCCGCAACCTTGAGATTAAGAGTCTCACGCTCTACCGATTGAGCTAGCAAGGCGGGTTTTGTTTGATGAAAGCCTAGCCAATTTCGGGGGTCATGATGCCTTCTGGGCAAACCCATTTGCGCTTCCCTGATGTTGAGACTCCCCAAGTGACAGCAAGAAACAAAAAGTGAGAGGCTCGGCAGTCCAATGCGGAGTCGTGAAAAGCGAAAGTGGTTAAATGAATTGAGTGTAGCTAGTTGAACCTTGATTACCTTAGGCGACGAACAGTTTTCCCCAATTCGAGAAGCGAACACTGCCATTTGGTGACGGCTAGCACAGACCATGCTAGATTGTTGAAGAGAACAGGTGAGCTCCGACTTGTGAGATAGCATAGACATTGTTGACATGTGTAATAGCAATGGTATAATCTACTAGAGGTGCCTAAATCCAATAATGACGAACCCAGAGTGTGCAGTGAAGAAGGTGTACATTCAGGATCAGATAATGGTTCATCTCTTTCTGATGAGAGACATTACCGAAGTAGTAACTATTAAGAATGCGTGATGTCCAGTGTCAAGACACCATGATGAATCGTCAAGCTGCGCCCCAAACTCCCCGCTTAGAATAGAAACAGATCGATCATTTAACACCAGTCATTCGTCATTGATCACTTCGTGGCCGTCGGAGCTCCGTCGCCCAGCTCTGCCCTCGGCACCTCCCGCTCCGTGCTATCCAGCTCGCTGACCGGGTGCAAATCGCTCCCAAGGGCAGAGTATGATGGAAGATGCCGCGGACCTGTAGGGTGGCCGCTGAGAGAGCTCACATTGCTGTCCGAGAAGGTTGACATATGGCGCGGGTCCATGCTCATGGGTGAGCTAGGATGCTTCATGGAGTAGTATGGTGAGTGCGGCGGAGGTGATGAAGGGGCATGAGACTCGGGGACGGCTGTTGTCGCATACGATGCTGTAGGATATGTCAGTCCTTGATCTGATTCCAACTGGGTGATTGTGGTGAAGACTTACCATATGCTGGATCGTAGGGGCTAGGACTGCTGTGTGGCACATATCCCATCTCAGGGTGTTGGCTCGGATGAGGACTCTGTACAGCAGGCTCCCACGCCGGCGGTTCACGCCTCTCGTTGCGCTTTCTGGCGTGCCACCCACATCTCCATATGATCGCCACGACGATGCCAACAGCTACTGCCGCGCCAATCGCAATGCCGACAATGGCTCCCGTTCCCAAACCTCCACCACCACCTGCGGAAGGAGACCCACTCGGAGTCGGTGTGGCCGTCGCCGATGATGATGCCGACGGCGTGGGTGTCACGGACTCATCCCGGAGGAACACGGCCCTCGAGCTCGCATTCGAACTCAGCGTCGCCGATATAAGATTCGTTTGCGGGCATAACCCGTCCGGCTCCTGGCACGGGTTCGTCGCGCAGCACCCGATGAAGGAGATATCGTTTGTGCACGTCCAGAAGATCTCGCTCGGCGGCCTGGCGTCGTCACAGCCCTGGGCTGGTATGTTTGCGTAGCGGTCCGGGTTGAAGGCCGATATCCTCCTGTCCTTTGTCGGGCACTTCCCGCTGCCGTCGGCGCAGGGGTTTGTCGCACAGCAGCCTAGGAACTCGACTTTGCTATCTTCGCAGATGTAAAAGTCGCCACCTTTAGGACAGCTTAAACCCAAGCTGGCTACCGCCATTGTGTGTGGTTGAATGATGCGAAGCTGTAGATATATTCGGTTTGAGTAGAGGCCCGGGTTCACTCTCGAGGTTCACGGTTCGAGGCCCAGCTTGTGTAGTATATGAAAATAACAGTAGAGAAGTTTGAGGAGACTTGACAGGAACACATGGTTATGCTACATAAGACACAGGTTTGATATGTATATAAGCTCATAAGCGTAAACTTCAGGGAAGGCCCGCAGTCAAAAGGTGTCACCAACGGCCCCAAGCCTGCACATCATGCTGATCGCCGCCTCGACCGGGCAACATCATTCGACATGTCGGATTTGGACGGGGTTTCTTGGGTGAGGTACCTGCAAGCAGCTTTGGAATCCTCGGTTTTCTTCTGCAGGCAGACAAACATTTGTCTTGTTGTTGCAAGGGAGCGTGGGAGGGCGGTGGGAGGATGCAGCCAAATTTCGCACTTGCGGGCCTCCACAGCCTCTTTTGGGGGCACAAAGCTGGGAAGCCTGGCTTCGCTTGGCAGCTGGAGCTGGCGAGCCTCTTCACTATCACCTGGGCGTTGATGGCTGCAGTGTTTTCAAGCAGGCTATGCTAGTCTACTAGGTAGGTATCGGAGTTGATCTGCATATGCTGTGTGATTCTTTGGAATCCTGTGCAGACAACCTTCTTTGGGTGTGTACGACCTCGGGGCAATAAAATAGAGACACAGAGGGACTGGGGGCCACGAGAATCACTTTGTTGATTGATGCGTGCCACTTCTGCGCCGCATGATCTCATGAGACAGGTTATGGACGCACAAGAGAGCAGTTGTGCAAACAATGATCTAACGGGAAGGCCGTTGGCGGCCACATGAAACTTTGGATGAGTGCATACGCGGCGAGGTAACTCTGTTGGTTGTGATCTAGATGTTGCGTTGTGTTGGTGCGTCTTGTTGGAACTGGGTGGTGGTTGGGAGGCTGAGGCTTTGCACTTTTTTGAAGGATCACCTGCGGAGTTCTTGGCCACTCAGCTGAGAATGAAAGTGAGATAAGCCCATGTCGGCTTCTCTTAGCAATTCCCAATAAAAATACGTGAAAGATGGGGAGGTTTGTCATGGTTGCAACCCCGATCGGGTAGGCTATTGCTGACAGGATGACAGGATTCCAACATAATTCCCGAGGATGCGGATTCGGGTTCACTGCTATCTGCAGTCCTGCTTCGGCTCACCATTGACAGCCTGGAATATACGAGAAATTCTTTTTTTGAAAAATTCGGCGAAGTGGTGCGATTGACGTTATGAGGCAAAGAAGCGAGAAAAGGTCATGAAACGAGACGAACTTGTACCGTACCGGATTATTGGGGCAAAGTCGCATCGCAACCCAGCCATTCGGGTCCAGAATGAGATGAGATGGGGGCGGACAAGAACACAACGTTGTCCGACCAGCCCGTCGTCGCCTCGTTCTCCGTAGAGTCTAATTTCTCACCATTGGAAAGGCTATACTCCTCCATGAGTGAGATGGCGATATCCGAGAACAAGGAGGGTCGGGGAGGAAGCAGGATGGAGGAGGGACTCATGGAGGTGTCTCGCTGACCGCTCCGACCCGGAGCCTCGGTGCTGCGCTGGCTTTGCTGGCCACATTATGAACGTGATCGTGACTGCACGGCTCACGGGGCGGTGTCTCCAAGGCTGCCGGCGCCGAACGGAGTCGAATCCTCTGAACTCTCTCTCTTGTCGGGTTGACTTTCGCCACAAGTTATGCTTTGATGGGAAAGATGATTGCAGAACGTTATTTGTAAAGGAGGGGGGGGGGGGGACACGAATGCATTTCAAAGTTTTCTGCAGCCCCTCTGACAGCTATCGTAATGTAAAACAGATTCTTCGCTTGCCAGCAGTGGATTAGGAGGAAGAGTAATTTCTTGTTGGCCCATGACCGCCAGAAGAATCAGAATCACCAGGGATCAGTGCGGTGTGGTAAGGTAGTGAATAGTAAACCCCACGAAACAATGTTTACCCAACACCACACGGAAAACAGTTACCATATTTTGTCATCAGCCCGAAGATCGCAGACATTGTACGAGCCATGCGAAGAATAACGGGGGTCAAGCCCGATAAAATTGCCTTTTTTGGCAATTTCTCGAATGAAGGGGAGGGAGGGCGGCCTGGCGGGGATCTCCCGGCGTGGGCCGTTTTTCGAAGACCCAGCGCGGAGGCAACGCAGCCATTAGTTCGAGACTTCCGGGCCGGGCCATGGTCGAAGGAGGGAGGGGGGCCTCACGCCCGCGGCCCTCACGCCCGCGGCCCTCACAGTCACAGAGTTCACTTGCTGACCCGGGATGGCTGAAGTTCGTCGGGCCTCCGAGACCGCAACACCTTGGGCCGATTATGAGGCCTGGCTCTGGCTTTAATGGCTGGGAAGGGCCCTGCTTCGGATCCGGGCTTGAGCAACTAGAGCCGGTAGAGCCCTTCGAGCCGTGACTCTTGCAGATTGTCTCACGGCGGTTGCCGACTCAGTCTGACCCCTCCATTGGGCCCGTCACCATGGTGAGGACCGGTACCGATTGCCGTGTCTCGAGTGATGAGGCACCCCTCCGGGCCTGTGGGTACCGGCTCTCCGGAACCTTTGCACCCGCAACGCAATCTCCAGGTTCGCCAAGGGAGCAGTTCTATTTTGAAGAGGCTTGACATCAGACGATGGCAACATCATGACACGCACATGGTGATGAGGAGTAAAACCTCGTCAGTCTGCAAACTCGTGAAAACGCCGAGCAAGTATCGCCGCTGGTCGGTGATGCGGATGTGATACGGTGGCGAGCGGATTCGCACAAGAGCCCGGGTCCAAGAAAAACCTTCCAAAATCACCGCAACACGTCGTCAACGTAAGCAGTCCCAAGTACGGAGGTGTAGCACTGATCCTCTCGGACGGCGTTGAGAATCCTATCAGACGGTCTTCGAGACTCGTGGCGGCGCCATATCCTATGGTTGACCGGCAACCCTCTTGATTAAGGTGGCAGCACTTCCTATGGTGATTACCTTGGTGATTACCTTGGTGATCCGTGGCCGGGATGTGGAGAGGGCGGCCCCCCATGCCCGGGGAAGAACCCCGAATCCTCTTGTCTCGAACACCAACGCATCCGAAAGCCTTGCGGGGCACATGGGAATGAATTGCGCTTCGGCGAGCTGGATGTCGTCCGAATAGCGAGAAAAGAGCGAGTTCACGTAGGCAAGGCACATAGGGCGATCCTCACGGCCAGTCAGCCACGGGCCACCAGAGGGATTCGCGCCGAAGACAATGGCGAGGACCAACCACCTTGATCATTGTACGGCAAGGGCTCACAGGAAAGCCAATTATGGGGTGCCTCTGCGGGTATGTACGCGTGGGTACAGGTGTATGGGCGAGGGCGAGCAAAGGGATCCGTGGCGGTGGGACATGCCGCCTTGGCTTGCGGCCGAGGCTCGGTCCGGGCGGTCTCAATAACTTCAATGTTCTATCCAATGTTCCCCGGCAACTTGAACTGAGGTAACAATAAGGGGGAGAAGAAACGACCGTGGTAGCGCTTCGGTCGTGTGGGTGAACCGTCGTGTGGTGAACCCAGGCGCGCCAAGGGGACCGGTCAAGCAAGTGCTAGTTCAGGGACACACAATGAAAGGCAAAGATCAGCCCAAAAAAAGAATAGGGATGGACACTCTCTGGCTGCCTTGTGGCGTTACGTTAACTATGTTCGGCTCTCGCTTTTTTGGTGCGGGAAGCGATGTGCAGCAGTTGGGAAACTAGCAGCAGCTCCTGCACCCCAAAGACCTTTGAACCGTCTCGTTTCACGGACGTCCGGAGGCGCACGTCCATGTCCGGCGGTCTCTCCACGGGCGTCCGGGCGCGCGACGAACCGCCTCAGGTGAGGCGGTTGTCTAGGAGGGGAAAGCGAGTAAATAGAAACAATGGAGTTGTAAAGGAGAGATTGTTGAGATTGAGATGTCATATTTAAGAACCTGGAATGCCAACCTCTAGACATCTACTTCCCGAAACAATTCAGCAGAACTCAATCACTCACTTAACCAATCGAACTCCTCGGTATCTCGACGATCCAACCCTCTTGACCAATATATCACTCCACCCACAGTCAACACCACATTAATCACCCTCAAAATGCCTGGCGTTACTTCTCAGTCTACCGGTTCCAAGTACGATGCCATTCCCGGCCCCCTGGGTTTGGCCTCTGCTTCCCTCGAGGGCAAGGTCGCCCTCGTGACCGGTGCCGGTACGTGCCATCCAATGCTTTCCTCTCTCACTCTATCCTCATAGGATGCGCTTCTCGGGAGAGCTGCAACCGACAATCAGCAAGCTTCCTAGGGTGCATCATCAGGGTGGTCTGTTCGTCTGATCTAAAACTCAACTAACACAAACACCATCTAGGCCGTGGTATTGGTCGTGAGATGGCTCTTGAGCTCGGACGTCGCGGTGCCAAGGTCATCGTCAACTACGCCAACAGCGCCGACACCGCCGAGGAGGTCGTCCAGGCCATCAAGAAGGGCGGCTCTGACGCCGCCGCCATCAAGGCCAACGTTTCCGACGTCGACCAGATTGTCTCCATGTTCGCCGAGGCCAAGAAGATCTTCGGCAAGCTCCACATTGTCTGCTCCAACTCCGGTGTCGTCTCCTTCGGCCACGTCAAGGATGTCACCCCCGAGGAGTTCGACCGCGTCTTCTCCATCAACACCCGCGGACAGTTCTTCGTTGCCCGCGAGGCCTACAAGAACCTCGAGGTTGGCGGCCGTGTCATCCTCATGGGTTCCATCACTGGCCAGGCCAAGGGTGTTCCCAAGCACGCCATCTACTCTGGTTCCAAGGGAACTATCGAGACCTTCGTCCGCTGCATGGCCATCGACTTCGGTGACAAGAAGATCACCGTCAACGCCGTTGCCCCCGGTGGTATCAAGACCGACATGTACCGGTAAGTGCACACTTGGTCCCCAAAGTCATCTCACAGACCAAGAAGCTAACAAACACCCAGTGACGTCTGCCGCGAGTACATCCCGGGTGGTGCTGAGCTCGACGACGAAGGTGTCGATGAGTACGCCGCCGGCTGGTCCCCTATGCACCGTGTCGGTCTCCCGATCGACATTGCCCGTGTCGTTTGCTTCCTGGCTTCCCAGGACGGCGAGTGGATCAATGGAAAGGTCCTCGGCATCGACGGTGCTGCTTGCATGTAAACTACGTATACCTATTGTAGTAATCGGAGTAATGGGCATCGGACGGGGATACTAGATTGGATCACTGTACATTTTAGATTTATGACAGGGGATATAATGAATAAAGATATGTGCCCCATTACAAAGAGACTTCTCGCCTCGTAACCTTCGCGTCGATTTCAACTCTGTCTTCTAGTCTGGTCAACAGGTTTTAGTTGGGAGGGGCTCGATTGCTGTCTGCCGAAATGGGGATTGGATTATGAAATTGGATTCAATCGTTATTCGTCAACATTGATCGGAACTTGGAACGGCACGAAGCATCACACGAAGTCTTCTTCATTGCTGCTGTTGTCGAAGGGCCAGGTCTAACCCTAACACAACCACAAATTGTAAGGCCCGCGCCATCTGTCATTGTAAACCATTTGTACTCCTTACCAATATTATCGCATCTTCTGTACTTGTACTTTTGTGTGAAACCTGCCGATGGTCAACTAATTTAACAGTTGCTCTTCACAGTCAAGATCTGGGCGTGTATGGCAAAGTCCTGCGTTACTCCAGCTGATGCTACCTTAGGTTAAGTTCCTGGATACTTCAACTGCTTGCGTCCCCGATGGTAAGTTGTGATCTTGAAAGTGGCCGTTGGACACCAAAAAAGCCCGGAGTACTTAGTAGACTACGGATACTAAGTAAGATTCCTACGGCGTGAGAGTTAACCAACTTTCGCGATTCCCCTACGCGTAAATACCCGTATTGAATTCGCCTGGTTAATGAAAGATGAAGCGCATAGGCAAAACCCGAAATTCTTCGACTTCCCCGAGACTCTCGGGAGATTCGGCAGTTGCGGTGAATGATCGACACGGACAAGCCCGTCCAGTTGCTTTCTTAGAGTTTCGTGGTTGTGGTTCTCCTGTCTCCATCTTGTCGACGTGTGAGTCCTAGAGTACTATATCCCAAATGAAAACTGCTAGCCGTAACCTTGAATTCGGCAAAAAGTGTCCGTGTTCCTGCCAGTTTGACCAACAGTTCGCTGATAGAGTTTGATAAGATAGTTCGTGTGGTGGTCTAAGAAGAATGCGATCGTCGTTAGCTTGACTCGTACAGGGCAAAACCAGCTTGTTCTGGGGGAAATGAGGCGCTGCACAAGTCATGTAACTACGAGGCGACCTCGAGGAGGATATTGCTAATAATCACAACACGGAGAAACCGCTTAGGGTGAAACTCAAACATCCCAGTCTTTGGATACATATACACTTGCGGCCAGCCCGAGCTGGCAGTTGTTTCTCGATTACTATACACACTCAACCAATAAGCTCTTTACAACTACCAACCAGTCTTTACCAGCCTGAAACCCAAATTCAAAATGCACGCCGCTTCTATCCTCCTCGTCGCCCTCTCCGCCGTCGGCATGGTTGCCGCCAAGCGCGACTGCAGACGCGACAGATCCCACCCCGGCCGCGGCTGGTACTGGATCGTCGAGGGCGACACCCTCAACGAGATCGCCGCCGATTTCGGTTCCACCGCCAACATCATCGCCGCCATGAACGGCATCCCCAACCCCGACTCCATCCCGGCCTGGAAGACTATTGTCGTCCCCTGCCCTCCTTAGATTATCCAAGCTAAATCGAATGGATACCCCGCGATACAACACTGGCGCACCGCAAGCGAACTTCATTACCGCCAGAAACTTCGCATGTCTGGTCAACTACCCAGTCAAAGTTTAGGGCAGAGCTTAGATAATGCATAATACACGTTGAAAGCTCGTTGGATCTGACGAAGTATTCAGTGAATCGATTCACTTTTTGGCACCAGTGATCAATGAATGAATGATTCGGGAGCTCCATGTTCCTAGCGCCCGCAGTTTGACACTGTTTGACACCAGATATGTAGCAAAATCGTTCTTCGGGGGAAGCATCGACGTAGATATCGAAAGACGAACAGAAATCTCTTCTCATTCAGGCTATGTGCTACCTTTCCGACGGTCTCTAGGCTTCATCTCGAACTCAGACACGCCTGTAGGAGCATTCTTGTCAGCTGCTTCATTACGATGTTCAGTCTGAGGTCGAGGTGCGTACTCGACGCTCACCTCAGTGGTCCATGTGATGCCGCCTCTTCCACCAGTACTGCTTCCTTGCTGCCCTGAAACCAGGATGCTGCTGTCACTGGATGCATCGTGCTCTCTTGGCTCTGCTCTTGTAGCCGTCACAGTGCTCTGATTGTAGAATCTGCCACTTGCATCCCCCGTCTTGATGTATGCCCCAGCTCCCGGGGATGACTCTGTTCGTTTTCGGACCTGGCGAACGAAACCGCGAAGAACAGGTATAGATGCTGAAATGATGGTGACGTTTGGTTCGGCCATGGACCAGACCCAGTAGACTGCTTGGTTGTACAGATCTGGTAATCGAAATATAGTGAGCTCCTACAACCTTGTTTTACATCATAGAAGAGGCCACTTACAATCAGGAGATCTCACGTTGATCAACACGTAGCCGTGAACAGCTTTCATTACCCCTGTAACACCTGCTAGGATCCCCATGCTCAAAGCCATGGCCAAGCAACTTCTCTCCGATTGTTTCATTTGTAGGTTGAAGATCATCTTCCACGGCAAAAGAGCAAGAACCACGTCGCAAACAGCTGAGTATACTGTAGTAGATGAATCAGACTTCGACATCATGGCTGCGTAAGGTTGAAACTTACATGCACTGAAGACACTGAATATTACCGACTGGTCTACCCGCCAGCACCTATCCCCTCCGATATGTTCTTCATCTGGTGCACCTCAAATAGCCTGCCACGACGCGATGATGTGGATCGCAAACTGCAGGTTCATAGTAACGATGACGCCCCAGACGAGCTTCGCTTCCCAGCCTCCGGGCATCAACCTCAGCAGCGTGATTCCAAACGATGTCTTTGTCAAACCCAGAGCGACAGATTGGAGGTTGTGATGTATTCGGGCGATGGTGATCTTCAGCAAGTTTCCTCGAATAAGAAAGACAGCCATCAACCAGGACACGCTTGCCGATGCTAGAAGCAAGAAGAACTAGCCTACGATGAGACTCCAGTCGTCTGCTTGGAGCCCGATCCCGGTGTTTCGAAGTCGGCTATAGACTCGTAGGGCGAGGAAGATGGTTGACATGAGGAGCATCTAAAAGTCGAGACGCAAATCAGAATACTACAATTCGAATCGGATGGTCTTGCTCCCTCGGTTTGGCAATCTTGACTTACTACCCATGTCGTTGCGTAGACAAGCGCGAGAGATCGCTGTTGGCCCATGCCATAATGCTGGCATGCAGATGGAGATCTGGAGCTGGTGGCTTCAGATCACCACGAATCTTCCAATGCCTAGCGGAAGGCCACAACAGGATCCCTCTTCACGAACTTGGATCCAGCTTTGGAAAATGGTAGATATTTAAGTTAAGTAAGATTGGCATACCCGCCCGCAGGCTATCGGCTTACTCTCTAAAGTCCATGCTGACCAAAATCTACTTTTAACATCACAATCTTCAAGCCGAGTCATATCCCATTGCTAGTTGCGGCAAAGCCTTGCGGAGCCACGAGCCGACCCTTGCTGCCCTCCTTGGCAGTATCCGCATAATAACCATATCCAGGTAATCGCTACAGAACCAGTCGAGGATTTCTAAGCTGTGCCGCCCGTAGGCCCCAGATAAAAGCACGATTGACCAAAGAATCGAAGATGCGAGACCGAGCTTGTCAAAAGCGGCTGTTTCAACGGAACTGCCGATTGGGCGGGCCAGAGCGTTCTAACAAAGGTAAAAGAATTCCAGACGTAGTTTTGCAGAGTGACGAACTAATACCGGGAAGAGTATCGCTCAAATCCGCCCTGCTGCCCGTTGGGGCAACGTCATGGCCTACCTCGAAACATACAATTTGGGAGTCACAGGTGGACGATCTGGCCATGTTGGCGTTGGCGGATTGCTGGTGTCCGGCGGTGCATCCTACCACACACAGCTTTACGGCTTTTCATGCGATAATGTCGTAGGCTATGAAGTGGTTCTCGCTGATTGATCGATAGTTGAGGCTAATACCGAGGAAAACGCAGACCTCTTCAAGGCTTTGAAAGGCGGTGGAAGCAACCTGGGAATTGTCACTCGGTTCGACCTTAGAACCTTTGCCGTACCCCCTACCGGTGCCTATGGCGGCCTGATCTTTGCTTCCTGGAGCGACTTGGATGTCGTTATTAACCAGTTTGTCAGCTATGCCAGTTCAATTGGTTCCGGCAACCCCGACCACGAGTTTGTCGTCGATCGATCCGACGCCGGCAACCTTGCTGTGATGGCCATGGCAGTCAGCACTGACGGCAACGAAAACTTGACGACGTTTGTCCCGTTCAACGACATTACTCTGACGAGGGACATGAGATCCAAGCAGCCTCTCAGCAAGATTGCGGCGACCATTGCCGACACTGGCGGATCACATTACATCCCTTTCTCTCTCTCTCTGCAAGCCACTCCGGAGATCATGAAAAAGGCTGCCGACATCTTCGTGGCTCTGACACAAGAGTTGGATGCCACAAGTGTTCCGGTTTCCGTCAACTTTGATTTCCAACCCCTACCCAAGAACCTCGCCTCGGTCAAACCCGGCAACAACATCCTAGGCTTCGACAAAAACCTACCTGCCGACTCAATTCTCTCGGAGGCTAGAGGCACCCTGGAAGCTACTGATGTAGAGTGTGGAGGAATTGTTGAGAGAATGATGGGTAGGGCCATCGAAGAGCTGAGGGCGTACTCTGCTTCTTTTGAAGGTCACTCGACATTTCTGTACATGAACTACGCCAACCCGGAACAAGACGTTATTGGATCCTATGGCGCAGAAAGTGTACGGCTACTGAAGGATACGGCTGCAAAGTACGACCCGGCGGGCTTCTTCCAGCGTCGGATTCCTGGAGGGTGGAAGGTGAGCCGGGTATGAGCATCCATAAACAAGGGGACAGAACCAAGGTCTTGTTACCCGTGCCCTTTTGAATCAGCAGGTGGAACTATTGTAAGCGAAGATAGTATCCCAAATTTTGCATATCTGAAATTTCAGTCTATTTGTGTGAAGCTAACGCCGTCTTGTATCAATCCTAATGACGAAATACATTCCACGTAAGCCAATTCCTTCCTACAAAACAAGGGATTTTACATAATGTAGACGTCCTAGAACCTTAATATTCTTCTTGTGTAGGGGAAGTTTAGTTTCTGAAATACACGTAGCAGTTCTCTCGATCTTCTGGTTGTTCTTTACATGACCAGGCATGCGTTTTCTGCTTCGACAGACAGGCTCACACCACACTTCTCTGCCTGAACCTTTAGGGGGGTTTGAAATTCCGTGAAGTACATATAATCAGTCAAGTCGGAGAACGCGTGCTTGAAGTGCTTTGTGAAGATGGAAAGACGCTCCTTATTGTCTTGATCCGAGTCCATAACACTGCGAGCAAGGTGAAGACGATTATGGGCTGCTACGGCTTGAGAATCGTGCGAACAGCCTGAACAGCGCCAATCGGGCCCATCTTGCTCGTCCAGTTCATCTTCGATTTTTTGAAACACATTCATAAGCGTCCAGGCGATCTCAGTGTAGTTGAATCCGGAAAGGGCGCGGCAACCGACAATGTCGTTGGAGATATCAACCTTTGCGGCCTCCAGATCCTCGAGAATTATTTCCAAATTGCCCCAGTAGGTGCTGTTGTCCTCCTGCCCCTCTGGATTAGCCAGCATCTTTGGCTTGAAGAGTACACGGCACTCTTCAGCTATTTCCATTCCTTCATCAAAAGAAACAGAGACCCCCAACCATTCGTCGCTCATTCCCTTGTTTAAGGCAGTGCGTACTAGTTCTGTCTCCTCGAATTGAACTTCTCCTGTTTCTGGGTTGAATCGCCTTGCTTGATCGAGGCGAACTATTCCAATTGCAGACCAAGGATCAAGCAGCTTTTACGGTATGCGGCTGGGGTCCCAATTGGCCTCTTGATAAAGCACCAATTGAGATTTCGTACGAAACATGCTGAGGTTGCTCAAATCACCGACATCATACCCATCAATGCTGGGGACCTTCGACGCGTCGAAAACGTCTTGGAAACATCTCGCAAACTTGAACTTCGGGATTTCGCCTTTGGGGAAAATGGAGTCCCTAAAGAAGGCTCGGAAAAAGCCGGCGACTCGATTAACACGAATACTAGTCATCTGATCCAGATACCCACGCTCTTTCAGCATGTTGTGCAGATGTACGAATGTTATTGGCTCGACAATTTGATTCCAAGTCGCCATTGAAGCACTGTATACAAGCCGAAGGCCTTCGACAAGACCAACACCGCAGAGGTAGGGTGAGTAGTCCCACAATCCGTTGGAGTTGGCGTGTGAAAATCGAGAGGCAACTTTAGATCGATGCTCAGCCCCTTCAGCTATCCGAGAGAGGCCCAGGAGTGACTCAAAGTCAGCACCAAGGTCCCAAAGAGGGCAATCCTGGAAGAGAGTGTACTCAGGTTTGGGGTGTTCCAAGGCATGTTCCTGCAACTCACAAGTCACTGGGAGGAACCCTGGGCGTTGATTGGCGCAACCCCTCCCAAGAAAGGTTTTGACATGCCATGTGGGAACGAAAGAGGCGGCTGGACCTTTGACTCGATGGCCACTTTGTTCATCAAAGGACCAGCCTCGCCAGATCGTTGTTGCATCGACGATGCACTGCAGCTGGAAGACGTGATGTGGAAGAATCTTGTCTATTATGTTCGTGCTTGGCTTCTGCATGGCTAATGTAGTGACGAAAGACGCAAAATCTTCGAGTCCAAAGAGACCACGGGTATCAATTTGTTGGCCATGAGTAGTATTCCAGTTGATGTCCTCAAGACTCGTCAACTTGTCGTTATCCTCAAGGTACTGAATGATGGGCAATGAAAAGATGTTCACCAGGTCAAAGAGCCAATTCATAGTGAATGATCGACGCCACGAGATCCTCTGTTCTGGAGTGGCAGACTCGATTGGAAAGTTGAGGTCCGAGTCTTTGATCTTGGCTTGCATTGCTTTGGTTGGCTTTCCTGTCCGGTTCTTTTGAAAGTCCTTGATGAAATCGAGTAGATCTTGGTATGTGTTGAGGAGCAATTGCTCTCGGATGTTATCGTTGTGCAATGTGTCAATGTCATGGTGGATATCTCCCCTGGGGACTGAGCCGGAATCCTGCTGAGACTGACTTCGATCAAAGGCCTGAATGATGTTTTGATAGCATTCGTTGCCAGGGAAGTCGATGAATATAGCCAGCTCTGTCTTTCTGACCTTAGCGATGGCCACCTTTGACACAGCGCCTGCTACGGCGCTGTTAACGTCATGGTACGCGACGTCTTCCCAGACATCCTGGAGGTAGGTTCGCATATCACACCACTCCGATTTGAAGGCACTGACGGCCATGCTGTATTCGTCCATGAGATCCTCGTCTGCTTCAAGGATGAGATAGCTGTCGAGAGGTGCTTCCTTGGCGTCAGAGTCTGCTGCAGGAACTTTCTTTGACCCCTTGCTTTTGCCTTTGCCCTTCTTGTTCTTCTTTCCTTTGTTGAACTTCTTCTTGTTCTGAATGACACTTAGGCTCTCATTGCCGCTCTCGGATTCTGGTTCACTCGTCTGGTCATCCACACCGAGATCCAAGGCGCTAAACTTGTTGCAGAAAATGAAGTCCTCGACAACTTCGGCAGCCTTCTTGAATGGAGAGGTCTGGACCCCGGGACCCTTGACTGTTCTGCCTGGCGAACTGTTTGGGGTGGCCTCCGCCCGAGAGAGCCAGACCTCTCCCCCAAGGAGGACGAAAACTTCGATGAGAGTGTTGATGAAGTGCCAATGACTTTCATTGCTCTTTGCGATCTTGGCATCAGAATTCGTAGAAACAATGGACTTCCATGAGTCGTAATGGGCGATTCTTGCGCGAATAACGGAGCGAAGCCAATAGAAGACTTTAGAGGGAACTTTGACATCCCCAGCCACAATGAGGCGGGCCATTGATAAAATGTCTTTGACTTGGAAATGAGTCGATGTGTAAGCCTTCTGAGTAGATGGTTCACTTGCGTTCATGACGCTGTTTGTTTTGTTCCGCATCCAGGAAAGAAGCAAGTTTGTGTCGCGCTTGTATCCGAGGTATGATTGTCGTGAAGCCCTCGGCACTGCCCCGTTTTCATCTGGTTGAGTATGGGTAGCCATTGCTAATTCGTTTGGCCAATCAGTCTTGTAAATCTTTGGATCTCAGACTCACCTGTATTTGGGCGGATTTGCAAGCACAGAGAAAGATTCAAGCGGATGTGTGTGCAAGAAACCCGAAAGACCTCCGAGACGTAGTGAGTAGCGAGGTGAATAAATTAAAAGGCAGACAGGTGGACGGTCTATATGGGGTCAAGAAAAGAGACCCAGAGAGGGTCTATGCTTAAATCTGGAAGGAGTGGAAGGGAGAAATGTGACAATGTTACTAGTTTGTTTGAGAACAATTCTATAATAAGATGTTAGGACATGAGGAAGGGATGAATGTGCCCAAAGGGGTACGGCCTACACATCTGTCTTCACTCCCCTACTTGATTGATTGTTTCTTACTGCAGCACCGAAGGGAAGACCACGCAAAGTATATCAATATTTGATAATGAAATTCGTTATAAGATATCAAAGATCTCAAACACCTCTGAAGGATTCGATCCGATGACCATTGTCCTTGCCACCATGTAGCAGATAAGAGATACAGTGTAGGAAGATCCCGAGAACAGGATCAATGACGTTCATTCCATTTCAGACCCACCATTGCTCCCCAAGAGCAGCCCTCAGAGAGGAATACCTGTCAGTGTCCCAAACCTAGCTGAAAGCATGGCCGTGGACAAGAAACGACCATAGTCTCGAGAGTCGCAAAGCTGGCCGATGCAAGCTGGAATCAGACTCACATTGCCCCCACTGGCAAACCCAAATATGAACGTGAATGCGAGAATAGTTGGCCATGAGCTACCCGCTGGTAGCCAAAGTGCAAAGACTGACACCGTACATAACCCGACGGTAAGAATGATGGTGTTGAATCGACCTATTCTATCTGAGACGAAGCCAGGAACGACGCGGCCGACAACACTGCCGGTATTGAGAAGAATTGGCAACACGTAGCTAGCATTGGCGGTTTGCCCCTTACTTACCGAAAATGACACAATATACGTGAGGGGTATAAGCACTCCGTACTCCATGAAGAAGATCCCCCCACAACAAGACAGGAACTTCAGGTCTTTGAACAAGTGGAAGTCTGGCCAGATGGTAGCGAAAGCTTTGCTGGGAGGCAGACGCGTTCGTAGAAATAAGTTGGTAGGGATCGCAAGTACCAGGTACGACAAAGCCAGGAGGCGCATGCTCCAAGCGAACCCAAGCTTTGGCAAAGCTACCTGTAAAACAAGGGGGAAGACGATGCCCCCGATCGAGCCGCCCGTTGCTGCGATTCCCATGGCTAGACTCCGTCTACTGTTGAACCAGTGCCTGATGATAGCAAACGCTGGGGTATTCAGCAAAGACGCACCGAGACCAGCCAGGACCGAGAAGGTCAACATTAGTTGATAGTAAGCTGTTTTCAGATCGTCAGTGTCGTTGTCTCTTTGATGCGGGCATTGCATTGTAACTTACTGTCGCAGAAGCTCAAGATAACGAGACTGCTGATCGTGATGATGCTTCCAAAAGCAACTAAATACGATATCCATGTTTGTCGAATATGGGCCCTGCTAAAATGCCAAACAGGTAGGTAACAAACAGGTAAATGGAGAAGATCCAGCCAATCTGAGAAGGCGTGTACTCTCGAACTTGATGCTCAGAGAAGTAAGACTCAAAGACTGCGGCTGTGTTTGGCAGACCGAAAACTGAAACCATCGCGCAGAATGAACCGAGCACCATGCCCCATCCCTCCACGCCGCCTTCCGGGTAAGTCAATTCCTCGCTGTCGCTGACTTCGTTGCTGGCAGTAGCATCCGCCGATTTCGTGTTGCTTTCGGCACGACTATCGTCATGGCTCGCTGCATGACTGACATTTGTGTTCTCGTCGAACCTCGCAGTTCGGCAATTCACGTCCAGTGGTCCAGCGGGTTTCGTCATTTCAACTAGGTGGCAGAATTTCCATGAGTAGTGAGTTGGTGGCCGGGGAATCAACAGTCAGGAAATAGGTCAAGTATTTGCGTGCAGTGTCGCAGGAAAGATCATCGTAGACGATATCGCGAAAGAAGCGAGCTAGCGCCTTGACGGAACTACGTTCAAATGTACGCGAGGATTCGCAGCAATGATCGCAAATAGGAAATGGCACAGGTGTTTAGTGGATATGATAGAAGCGACATGTACCTAGAAAGCATGGGCCTAAGCCGTATATCCTCGAAGTAAGGTAGCGAGGAGAGTTGATATTCATTCCTATTCAAGAACAGTATACTACGGCACTTGGGTTTTTGATGACAATCACTCAACTGACTAACTTTCGAAAGAACGCCGAGGAACATTACCAACGAGTAATGAATCAAAGAGCTCAGGGTCCAAGGAACACATTTCCCGGAGGATAACAAATCACGACGCACAATTTGGCTACTAAGTTCCACACCAAAGCATCATGGCTCGCGCCATGTTTCCCCGCACTTTTCCCCATTAGGCACATGTCCCAACTTCCGTGCGAATCGAGGCGAGTTTAACCATTCCTCTGCAGCCGTGATCCCGGACAGACCGTACTCGAGTTACAGATCTTGCAATTTTCTACACTGTTCCGTCGTTAATCTCTAATAACAAAAGCTCGTCAAGCTTGAAACCATACTTTTGCCTACTCTGGCTTTGGGGGACTGGATTTCAAAGCACTAGGGCTAACGACCAAGTCGTGTCAAGCACTATATAACTTGCCGGAGCTACAGGGTACGGCTTTGTTATCTACCGCAACAATAAACGTATAGCCCAGGGCTGCGGCCGTCTCGGCTTAGCAGAAGTGTTTGATGGTGAGGCGGAGGGGGCGAGGGCTGGGCTCCGACGGGCCCTTCAGACCTCCCAAGGCCGGCCTATACACATCTGCATCGACAATACCAGCGTTATTCAGGGGATTCGCGGTAAGATCCCAGACTCCTCACAAGCGGCCTTCCTCGAGATCCAGGAGGTAGCTAGGATACACGATATACAAACCCATTGGTCTCCTGGGCACCAAGGTATTAAAGGAAACGAAGAAGCAGACAGCCTAGCTAAGGAGGGAACAACTCTACCAGTCCTTAGGGGCCAACTAGCTACTCTATCAGGTATCAAGTGGCTTGCTAAAGAGCAGCCAAGACGCCAATATAGACGATGGTGGAAACAAGAGGCAACTCCCCGCTATACCCAACTAGGGCTCAAGGCTACCCTTGCTTGCCCTCCTGAACTTGGCCTCCCTAGGGCTGCCCTTCATCACCTCCTCGCGGCACGGTCAGGCCACGGGGACTTTGAACAATATCACCAACGCTTTAACCACACAGAAGCACTACTCACCTGCTCCTGTGGATGGGTTAAGGAGGCAGACCATCTAGTCTACTGCCGAAAGACCCTACTGAGGAGGCAACAGTGGCCCACCCTCTACCCCTACAGCCGCCTGGAGCCCGTAGGACCTATAGGGTCCCTCGATCGCTACTTCAAGGGGCTAATCACTGACTCTGAAGGCTTCCAGGCCTTCCTCTGCGTGACAGACTTCTTCCAGAAGATCTGCCCGCGGTACTAGGAGATAGGTCATAACCTATCCTCCAAACGACAAACTACCTCTATTAAGAAACCAGATGGTTATAACGGAACTAGGGCACCAGTGGGAACTAGGGATGGATAGAACACATAGTAGCTCACGAGCAAGATTTGGAGGACGTCAGGAGACGGCGTGTACTATATAGTATATAGCTAGAGCCTGCGACCCTTCACGCCACATACCCTTCGGGAGGTCTGCCGCAAGGGCGGCTGCGCCCTTGCCGCCATGGCGTTAAATAGAACAACAACAACAACAACTATATAACTTGCAACTTCCGACCCAAGCTATCGTACACTGTAATCAACTCACACAAAATCTATACCGTATCATCTCAATACCTCACTACACTCCAGATTGTAGATCACCATGGCCATCATTGCTGTCGCAGGTGGCACGGGGGCAGTAGGCAAGACTATCGTCGAGGGCATTGTTGCTCATGGCGGCCACAAGGTTTTCGTTCTCTCAAGAACGGTAAGTATTTATTCGTGAATCTACAACATCTCTTTGCAACACTGACTGACGCTCGATCAAATAGAGCCGAGAACCAAAAGATGGGGTACAGTTTCTCGCCGTTGATTACAAGGACGTTGAAGCCGTCAGCACGATCTTGCAAGATAACCAGGTTGACACTGTCATTTCCGCCATGGGTGTCGTCACGCCACAAACCAACGAGGCTCAAATCAACCTGGTCAAGGCATCGAACAAGTCCAGCTCGACGCGCCGCTTCATCATCAGTGCGTATGACATGCTGCACACAAGGGAGTAAGAACACCCCTACCCCGTCAATCTTACCATGGATGCTTATAATGCCTCAGCCAAATTTCGCATTATCCTCTCGCCCAGTACGCGTTTGAGGCAATCGACGAACTTGAAAAGACAGACATCGAGTACACTCGCGTGGTGAACGGCTTCTTCTTGGATTACTTTGGTATGCCGCACTACAAGTCGCATCTCCACCCCTGGGTCAACTTCGTGAACTTGGAGAAGAAGTGGGCTGTCATTCCTGGTGACGGCTCAGCCAGAGCCAACTTCATCACAACGCAGGACATGGCAAAGTACATTGCCCGCCTGGTCGGTCTTGACAAATGGTCGAAAGTGAGCAGCATCGTAGCTCAGAACCACTCTATTTCTGAGATACTTGCATTGGCGGAGAAGACACGAGGTGAGACCAAGTCTTGCTCAAGTTTGCGTGGATTCCGAATTCTTACTGACAGATGATTGCACACAGGCCCCAGCTTCAGGGTCGCTTATGATGACTTGGAAAAGCTCAAGACGGGAAAGATTTCTTTCATTGAGGACTTCCCGGGTTTCGAGCTCAGTCGTGAAGAGTCGGAGGCCTTGTTTGCAAAGGTTCACTACTATGCGGGCATCGGCAAGTTTCTTGTTCCCACTGAGGACACTTTGAACTCCAAGTTTCCGGATATTGTTCCGAAAACGACCGCTCAAGTGTTTGAGGAGTCATGGCAGGGTAAATGAGATATTTCTACACGTCGATTGATGAAGTCTAGTGCCCGCCATCGGGAAAAACGGCATTATATTAACTCATTTGAGCGGTTTTCTTCAGAGGCCAATTGAAGTCTATTTCTTGAGCAGTCACCAGCTTGATTAATTCTCTGTCAACAGTCCTTGCATACTGGCCAGGTGCCTCGCACACATCTTCCTGTATTCTCCTGCAGATCCCCATCGCATACTGAGTTCATCCAAGAATGTTGTCAAACCAAGTATGTCAGATTGACCGGCTTGACTGGCAGCTTCGTCATCTGAGAGTCGATGCAGGTTGGCGGATGCATTATACACGGCATCGAATATGAACGGCGAAATAATGGCAAGGTTTCCGATGGGGTTCTCCCCGTCGAATAGTTGGTTGGAGAGCGCTTTCGCAATGTTTCGTACGTCCAGACTCGCCTGCCAGACGGCCCTCGCTGAGCACTTCTGGATCTTTTTGAGTTCACGACTCTCTGCTTCGTCCTTATGATGAGGCTTTACGAGGAATTTGCCGTCTGGGGTAATCTTTACCCACAAGGTGAGCTTTCTGACGCAAAGGAACAGGGCCGAACGAGCGGCGAACCGGGGTCCTATCAGTCGAAGAGTAAGGTCAGTGCTGGCTGGAGATTTTGACTCTTGGTCGACTGTATCAATCCATTCTAGTATTTTCTTTGAATGACTGATGATATCTTCAATATGTGCTTGATCGAGTGTGCCCTCAATTCGGGATAGTACGAGTGCGTGGTCAGTAAGGAGGGCGGCTTCACAGAGTCGTGAGAACCCGGAGCGTTCTGCAGGAATTTCAAGGTACCAGTCATACTCGTAGTCCCCAAGTGCATCATAGTCGGGAGATTCCTGTAGTCATCAGTAAGAGAAAGACCTCGTTATGGGACAGTGATGGCGGTGAAGTGATCGTGATTAAGTACTAACCCAGTCATCGTCAAGCATGGTCAGTTTCATGTCTTCCTGAGGTCTCAGAACAGCACATGGACGCTTGCTTCCGACAGACATAAGTCGATCAAGTATGAATACCGCCCACCATGACCTCCTTCTTTCTTCATCGTCCGTTTCGAACCACAATATCTGTCCAGTAAATGTCAGTTTCACCATTAATGAACACTTTGAGGGCGTCAATCAATGACTTACAGGCTTTCTTAACGCGACGGTATCAGTTGATCCATGGAAAGCCGTGTCTCTTGTTGCCCAGGATACGCCCACAAGTTCGATGTACCGAGTGCACAATCCAATGCTCATCCATGCGGCAGGGTAGACCGCGTGGCAATATTCGTAAAGCGCAACAAGAATCATTGCTTGGAGAACTGGCAGTGACACAACTCCGCCAGCCACGAGTATGTTCAAGAACCCTTTGGTCTGGCCATACAGTTCGCTGCAAGTTTTATCGTCGGGGTTGGACGTAACAAGTCTCATTGCCAGAGCAAGCGCAACTATGTCCGGCTTACAACTCTTAGCAAATGGAGCTTTCAGCTGCTTCTTGGTGGATATGAACCGAAACCAGACGTGGAAGGTTTTGAAGTACTCGTCGCAGGCACTTTTGACCTTATCACTTTCATTAATGATCGATAGCACAGCCTTTGAGTTGTCCATAGCATTAGCTATTGTGCCATGTGGGAACTAAGCTGATGGTATTACCTCAGGTATTGAGATGACTGGTTGGTACAATTCTTCAAAAGACGACTCAGTATGATAAGAATCGCCGTCGAGAAAAGCAGAAGCTGGGAAAGCGCTGTTGATATGTTGGGACTGAGTCTCCCGAGACAGGGCGCTTAGCGAAGATCTGCCGTCGGGATCATCGATGAGGTGAATTTCATCCGACGGCGTCAGCATAAGCATTTCGTCGTCGTCATTGGGGATCTGGCGATGATTGCAGAATTCTTTCTCAATCGCATCAACTCGAGCTTGCAGAGCGGCAAAGTCCGCTGCACTAGGTGGGCGATCCGGCTCATGTTGTGAGCCATGGAGTCGACGAACTTGATGGGGGCGATCATCGCGAGGAAGCTCTTCGTCGCGCCGCCTTTTGTCGCCCGCTCTTGCGATTTTATTGCCGTCGGATAGCATAGCGAAAATGCTGCAAGTCAATGTCGCGCTATGAGGTGGTGGTGTAGTTGATCTGGGGAAAGGGAGAAAATACGAAAGGTGAATAATCGGCACCCCTTGGCTTTGGCATCGCCAGGTATTTGCGCCCCAGCCACGGCCGACCTGGGGTGTCTCAAAAGTGTGGCTTGACAAGCGTATTCAAGTGCACTCGCAACGAGTCCCTTTGCTCTCTCCTTTTTTCCATCCCAAATTACCTTATTTGAAGATTTGAAATTGCACCATGAAAACACTTAGACCCAGACGAATTATACAAGTGTGAAGTATTTCAGGTGGTGAAAAGAGTGTCGCAAATTGCCTAATTGGGATGCAACGTGAAGCAGTTGATTATGGCCCTTGATGTGGATCAACAAAGGTGTCCAGGGTTTGGCCAGACGCAAGCAAAGGTGAAGTTCTTCACAAATACAAGGAAAGGAGAGGTACTGCCTACTGATTGCGCTCACTTGAATTCCTTCTTGCAAGCTCTACAAAAGCCAGCTTCTACCCATCCGAGTCAACTTGTCCTCTTCTTCCTCTCGCACAAACAAAACGTCAATCTTGCCAAAAGCCCGCGCCCGCGCCCTCACGAAAGCAAATAGTTGCAGATCACGCACGCAATTGTCACATAACAAGCTTCTTGTGACTATCATTCTCACAGCTACCAGCCAGACCAACGTAAAGTAAGCAAGGCGCAAAACAATCAGAGACTTTGTTTATTCTATGCTGATTTTCTTACGCAGCTGCTCCTAGACTCCCTCCATAATGTGTCAAAACATGTATTACACGTTCGATTGCGGCCATCGCATCGGCCATGTCGCGGTCCTTCGCTGCGACAAATGTGTCATCTCTGGTTTCGACTGCTAGTATCGCGAGACTTGTGAGGATGAGAAGCTGCCAGGTGGATCGGGCTTGTGTCGCGACTGCAGACTAGCTCCTCCCATCGCGACCGCGCCTACGCAGGTTCAAGACGGAAAGGGACAAAGTTTCTGGAAGAAGACTGGACAAATGCTCGCTGCTGTGGTTGGAGCGATCAAGCCATCGACAAAGTAAGGGTTGACTGACAGTCGCGACGTAGGATTGGATTGTATGGCTCTCTGGAGGAAGCTGCTCCCGTAAACTTTGTTATTGGCTTTCACAGCGGAAAATTCGCATAGCGACGCGTTGGTTTGGATCGTGACGAGAATGAAGGGGGTTTATTACAGGGCTCATGACGTGTCATTCTGGTGGCGATAACAGCGTTAATACTATCAATCAACAAAAGCTTTCAGATAATACTGTGAACAATCACTACTGGAAATGAATGGCACTAGAATTTGAGATGCAAGATGGACCTTGAGCGTGTACGCGCACCAAAACACCTCAATTGATTCACCGAATATGGGATACGGCAACGCCAAAACGCGTGGCGCCGATGCGTCTGGTAAAATCTACAACCTCGATCTAATGAGCTGTTCATTCAGCTTAGCCTCTGCTTTCTTCCTAGAGTCTTCCCAAAAGTTGGCTTTCGCGGATCCCATGGCTACCCATATGTCGAGCAACTTGTCGTCGAAAGGTGGCAAGACGCGACCTGTCGTTCCGGGCGCTGGGTCCCCTGCCACTGATCTGAAGTACTCAAATACCTCTTTATAAAAGGGTGCTATGGTGTAGTAATCCTTGCCTCCACCGAATTCGGCAACACGGTCTTTCTCCCACTGCTTCTGCTCTTCCTTTGGCGGCAAAGGGTTGCCCCTGCCTGCCAGAAGACGGGAGACTGCTACAGCCTGCCACTCAAAGAGACGGAAAGTAAATCCACCTCCACACTAGGCCACATTTGTTAGCCTTGGTCTTTCATCTAAGAGGGCGGTCGATTACTTACCATGCCTAAGAAGGCGAGGGCTGGATCTTCGATATCCCAAGTGTGGAAGTAAACTCCCGACAACCGACGGTCAGCTTGGCGCATGCGTTCTTGCACTTCGGGCAAGAAGGGAAAGCTAAAGGTGAAGCCAGTCCCAAAGACCACATAATCCACACCTTCAACTATGGTACCGTCTTCAAAGATGATCGCGCCGTTATCTGAATCGAACTTGATGATCTGTTTCTGGACGGAGATGTGGGGGTGTGTGAAAGGAGCCCAGCCAAAGTGAGGCAAAGGCTCCCCGCGAAGTGAAGCATAGACCGGATGTTGAACAACTGGGAGAACTTCGTGAAGGATCTCGTGAGACGACACTGAACCTCCAACGACGATGACTTTCTGTGAATCCCGTTAGTGTCAGACTTCCATTAGGGTTTAGTACGTTATTAAGAGTATTTACTTACCTTTCCCTTGTACTTGTCGGAATCTCTGAAGTGCTTGCTGTGTACAATCCGTCCAGGAAACCTCTCGTCATATTCTTTGATCCCCTCAATATTTGGTAGCCAGGGTACGTTATAGTGCCCGGTTGCTACAATGAGCGCATCAAAGCTCTCTTGCCACCAGTGGTCTTTTCCAGGAAGCTCTTTTCTTAGTGTCAAAACCCATTTGTCGCCCTCTTTGGTTGCAAGCTCGACAGTAGTACTGAGTTCGAGCAGTTCCTCATGCCCATGGCGGACGAAGATGTTCTCGACCCACTCTCGAATTTGTTCCCGGCCGCGGAAAGGAGCGTCGTCACCATACTTCTCTCGGATCCGATCTGTCAGAGTTTCCGGAAAGGGCTCAGTAGTAAAGCTCATAATCTCTGGGGCAATGTTGGTGTGGAGATGCTCATGCTGAGCGGTATCTGAAAATCGGATCTGGTGGCTATTTACGGCCTCTGACTTGGGCGTCTGGGCTGGGAGTTGAAGTGGAATTGGAACGGGAGCATCGGCTTTGCCATCTAGGAGAGTCTTGAGAGATGGAATACTGGCGGGCAAGTGCGGAGTATAGATCCTATGGCAATGTCAGAAGTCTTGTAGAACTAAGGAGAACAAGTGTTGAGCTTACCAGGTTCCTCCCGGGATGGGTCGTCGATCAAAGACTCGGACTGTGTCGAAAGCTTGTTCCTTGACCAAGGCATCTGTAGCAATTGCGCCTGACGGTCCAGCGCCGATTACGGCTACTCTTCGAATCTTGCCCGTCATATCGATTGAACTCTATCAATAGCCCAATGCAAAGTCGCAGAGATAGCAATGAAGATAGTGCTTAGCGGCTTGCTAGTTGTCAAAGTCTCATTGTACAGCAACTCCTGAGTTTCCGTGGCTCTTGATAGACATTTAAATTCCATCAAAAAAGACAGTCTAATTAAACACCGCCGGCTCGGCATCAATTTATTCTGTTTCGGCCCGTTGAACAATGGCGCCACGAGATGGGTGGCATTGCGTCTTGTTGGAAGTCGAGCACGCAACCCGATTTAGTGTGGGTCAAAGGATGCGTCTTGACCACACCAAGAGCGAATCGATATCAGGCGGCAGCAAGCGCGTATCGGAGAGAAGCCGGCTGCAGGTCCAAGATTTCCATTCTCGGCGGTAAGTCTCCGTCTTGCGGCAGAGTCTCGCGGCTTTTCGACTACACAACACCAGTCTACATCGATGTCGCCATTGTCCAATCGAATCCCGGATCCCTCTTATCCCATCAGATCACAGAAGGCCTCATACGATTATCACGACGCAGTTGACTCTGCAGGCTCGAAAGGTCCAATGCGATCTCAACGTCTCGCCAGAGTAATTCAATGCTTAAACACGAGGAAGGAACATTATTTCATTAGTTTCTTACGCTACTCCAGCTTCCGTTATCTCCGTCTTGATCAAAAGGATACCCTTGCTTGGCATGCCGTCCTTGTCGAGCAACCTGACGAAGCGATATCCGAGCCTCAGCCTATCCAAGCGGACGCATGCCCATCCAGTCATAACATCCGGACCAACGACATCATTCATGACGATGAAGGAGAGGAAAGCCAGCTCGGGAACAATGCCCTCGACGTTAAGGAACTCGATCAACTCGCCTCCAAAATTAGGACTGGTGCCAGTACTCTTACTCGTCTGGCCGCTGTAGCCAATCTGTGTAACTTGCTCTCCGTCCGCATCTTCACGCACCATGGCCGTCAGCGCATCTGGCTCGGTATGCAAGCCAACCTTGACGTAATGTATGAAATTTGTCGGATCATCATGCGGATTGAGAAGAGGGAGATTTTGAGCCGCCAGCACTGTGACAGCGACTCTATCCAGTTTCTTGCTCTCGATATTGGACCCCATGTCATCCTCTTCCGACTCGCCGGTAGGGTCGCGTCGGTAACCATTAGGCTTGAGAACGTACCCATCCGAGCCCGCAAACATGCCTTCGTTGAGAATCATGCCCACATCCCAGGACTGCCAGTTCAACGCGACTACCTGAACACCAGCTCGCCAGAAGATGACAGGATCAAAGTTGGAAGAGTCAACCCGCATGCCGTGTGGGTAGGTCCTCATGAGAAAGTCCCTGTTGTGCGTGAACAAGGCCTTTGGCATCCTCCTCTGGATAGCAAATGCTGCCTTTTCCGAACGCGAGAAGATATGATTCGGCATCGATGCCTCGGCCTGCTCAAGAGACTTGAATGTAATGCCACGCGTGTAGATGTCCAAGCGGCTAAGTCGAGAGATGACCTTGGGCGGCTTGACCTTCGCCGCTTTCTTTTCTCCTCCTTCCGTCGTTGTGACCTCCAAGATGCTACTGCCATCGTCGTCGAAGCCTTCATTGACGCTTTCGGCACCGTCCTTGTCGTTCGGCACGTATTTGACCTTGACAAGAATCTTCCTGCGCAGCTGTTCGGGCGAGGCTAGAGAAGCGGGATCTAGCTCGGGCACAGGGAGGAGAAATTCTCCCCATATCTCCTCCATGATGTCGACCATGGCGGCCTGTTGCAGTGGAGTGCAGTGCACTTCCAGGCTAACAATGAGTGGCAGCTCCGATGTGACAAAAGCGTATTCCCTGACGACTTGGCAAACGTCGCGGAAGAGAATTTCCTTGGTTAGAGTGAACCCGTGAAGAACCCGCGGCTCTGCCCTGATAATGTCCGAAAGCCTGTCGTCGGCGGTCCTGCCCTCCGCGTCCACCGATTCAAACTTGTTCATGATCCAACGGCCGACCTTGATGCCTAATTTGTCTCTTCGACTGAGCTTCGCCGGTGTGTCGTTCGCGGGCGTAGGCTGCTTGCTGTTCTCATCAGTTCCGTTTGGGTTGTATCCGGATTTATATTGCTCCACGCCGTCCCAGACGTCAATCTCGATACAACGACATCCACGGAGTAGGACGTCTCTATATGCTTCGGCGCTGGAGTCGCTGGAGAGTTGATTTCCGGTGAGGTAGGTGTTGTGACTCGAGCTAATGAAGTAGCTACTCAGCGGCCAGGACAGGTCCTGAGGAGCCGTCATCTCGAGAACATCGCCGCATGGTGAGGTGATGTACTTGATCAGCTCGAAAAGGTCCAGCTCGTCTTTGTCGATGAGGTAACCCGCCAAACCGTTGGGATCCTCGGCTTGCGCGTGCTGCATGAAAATGCTGATCTGATCTCGAGTCCATGTGTTGTTCGCGGTAGCATATTTGTTGAAAAGCTGGGAGAGGTGGCCCAGTAGAGATTCGTCTAGCTTCTCTTGCACACCTTTGCGCTCGCCGCTTGGGTGACCACCGCCGGCCCGGTGCTGCTGAAGCGGGAACTCGGTCGACATTGATCACAAAAAAAGATGTAAAATTTTGACTTTGAACTAATCAAAGAGTTAGTAATCTTCAGGAACTAGAAGGTAGCGATTATGGGTGTTGCTTTAAACTGTTGGACTAAGCCCTGCAGACAATACGTTATTTCTTGACTTTGGCTCCCTCTTTCGTCGCGTTATGTAATGGTCCTGGAGATGTTACCCGAAATGGCATATATAGAGGAGGAGCCCCATCTCGGTGGGAGGTTTCCTAGGCGGGGCGAAAGTGAAAAGGGTCTCTACGATTATCGTATTAGTGAACTTACGAACCGTCGGCCTGGCCGAGGGCTGTCTTTGGCTTTGTGGAACCCTGTGTTTGGCATGAAAGGGCCCAAGGTTTGCGAAGTAGAATCGGCTATCACGGCAACGTAACGACTGGGCTTAAGTAGTAGAGAAAAATGATGAGGGAAAGGCTGGGGTGAGCACTGAGAACTACTTTAAGGAAGCACCGACCGCAGCAGATTCCGGGCATTACGGAACCCGGGTACGGCATCAGACCCCACTTGATCGGTAGATCGTGTGAACGATCTACTCAGAGGTTTTCTGTAAAGACTACATCTCGAAACACAGAAAATCCATGCAAGGGGGCCATGTACGATGAACCTGTCTAGTTTCCAAGAACTGCGTTGATACTCATTGATACTTGTTGCTATGGTAGACCTTGCGTCATGTAGCAGAACAATGGCCACGGTATGTCTGTACCAATTCATTAATCCTTCAGGACCACCGCAACGTTCTCCCCATCATCCACCTCGACAGTCTCGATCTCGGAATGGTAGTTCTTGAATGCTCGAGTTGGCAAACGCTTCTGAAACATGTTCTCCAGCTCCAAATAACTGCGGCCCTTCATCTCTGGGAAGCAGAAGTAGAGGTAGATAGAACACAGCAGCGATGGTCCAAAGAAAACGAAAGCAACCTTGCCTCCGAGATTGGCGTTGCTGGGGTTGATCAAGAACGGCATGAGCTGCGTGACAAGACATGCCGCCGCTGTGTTGCTCATCACGTTGATGAAGTACGTCTTTTGACGAAGACGAGGGGATTCAGTCTCACCACCGACGGCATATCCGCTAGCACCGATCGAAAGTTGGAACTAAACATCGCTTGTTAGCGACGGAAGAAAGGAAATTAAAGAAGGATTCTTTGGTTTGATTTGACTTACAATGAATCCCCAAAGAGCCATGAGTGCAACCATGGCAGTAAGAGCGCTCTGGTTAGTTTTGGGAACACCCAGGCCACCGATCACTAATAGAAGTGCCGTCATAGTCACAGTTCCCCAGACTATCAGTGGTCTGCGACCGACTCTTTCTACCAAGAACCACGAACAGATGTTGCCAAGTAGCTGGATACTGTAGCAAACCTGGGCAATACCGATAGGGTTACCCACTCCAGCAATAGTGAAGAAACTGTCAAACAATTCTGTTAGTAGGTGAATCACTTCATGGAGGGTGGCACTGACTATGAGAGGTAGCCCACAACCAGCTGAGCACCAGCAAATTGTTGTGTCAAATACACCATGCAAACAATTGTGGTCCTGCGCAAATTGGTGCCCCGAAAACAGTCGAAGTACGAGGCGCCACCTTTGCTTAATGCCTTCTCCTTTTCAAGTGTTGCTTCCATAATTGCCAAGGTCTCTTCCACGTTGTGTCTCGGGCCATTGAATTTCCCGTAGTGACTTCCCGGCTTCTTCGCGTCTTCCCTTCATCAGCAGCCATGATGGAGACTCTGGGAGCAAGATTCCGCCAAGTACCAGCATCAAGACTGGAGACATCAGCTGTGCGAGTACAGGCAACCTCCAGCCCCAGTCACTCTTGATGAAAGACCCGCCGTAGCCGACGAGAGCGCAAGACCACTGCCCAATAACAATCATGGTGTTGATGAGAATGAGACTGTCAGAGCCCTCCCGGATAGGGGCTAGTTAGAGGTAGTAAGGAGTCCAAGCAACAAAGGAGCAGCTCAGATATATATACAGCGCAGGGAGTACACGTCGAGGGAGGAGCAGATTTCAGTAATTCATCATTCTACCCCTAACTGCAGTTGGCCTCTGAGAGCTTCCACCCTGCGTCAGCACCACAACTTGACAGAGACATACTCCGCGTAAAGCGTCCGGTGCAATCTCGGCGACGTATACGGGACCCAGTGCGTGGCCCAACCCGTACCCAACGGTGCTGATAAGCTTGCCGCCAAATAGCTTCAAAATCGAGTTCGAGAAACCTTGAACGATGATGCCGGTAATGCAAAGAACACAACCGCAGATGACAACCATGCGGCGGCCGATGATGTCCGAGATGAATCCGGTGCAATATGCTGCTAGCACGATGCCGACGGTAGTAGAGGCATTGAGTATTTGCTGGTCTTGGGTCGGAATCTCCTTGATGCCGGAGGTCGTGGTCGTTCCGAAGCGATCGAGGGAGGCAGGAATAGCGAGGATGTTGCCGACGAGTGCAAGTTCGTACCCGAAGTTGATAGGTAGAATGAAGATGAGAAGGCCTATTGATGTGATGCGGTCAGATTCAGTTGCTGTGAGAGAAAAATGAAGGTCATAAGAGTTGCTTACACCACGCTAATACTCTCTTGTTCTTGGACAGCTCAGCGAAGCCTGCTGGCTTTTCTGGAACCACTGCCATTGTGCTTGTAGTCAACTTGCCAACCAGCCGCAAAAGGTAATGAATGCCTCCAGAGAAAGTCCTCGATGCGAGAAGGGCGCTGGCAACGGAATGAACCGAGTGATACGATCCTCGAGTTGTCTCGAGATTGACGAGAGAGAAATTGAAGCCATCAGGAAAACCATCGATTACTTATAGCCCCGGTCCTTAGTTTATATCAATGCGATCCGGGGTTACTCCCGCATCCAACTGGTTGATACCGAAACCACATGTTACCCCATGGGTTGCGCCCACCTCCGAGTCTCTTACCCCACAGCTCAATGCTACCCCAGCAGACCCATCGTGTTTAATGCTGTGAATGGTCAAGCTAGTTCACCGCGGCGAATTATTTAGTGTTAGTCCCTCCCCGCGGTCACGTTTGCTTGACTATTCTTCTCCCCCCTCTTCAACTTTCCTCGGCACATCGGAGAATTGCCAAAGACTCTTCTGAGAGGCAGTCCGATTTTCTTACCCGGCAAATTGGTTCAATGACGAAGCGATCCTGCGATGGATGTAGACGGCGGAAGGTCAAGGTATGGGATTCCAACATCAAATTACATGGGAGTGTAGGCTAAATGCGACATGTTATACATACACAGTGCGATGCACAGAGCCCGCAGTGCTCCAATTGTCTGATGTCTTCCATGACTTGCGAATACACAGTTCCGGCAAAGAAACGGGGACCGCCCTTTCGGGCTCACAGAACAGATCAGATCAGAACTCGGAATAAGGACAACCAGTTGAATAGCGTGGTGTCTGTCTCAGGGCACTCTCAAGCTGCTGGTTCTCAAGTTGAAGATTCCTTTGTTGACAGTCCACCAAACGATAATCTATCTCTAGGTTGCAGTCACCCACAGAAGAATTGCATCCATGCTGCATTCGACGCAGCCATTGGCGATCTTCTCTCAGCTCTGGGGAAAGCCCTGCCATACGTCCCACTTGAAGACGTTCTGTCTTCCTGCATTGATCTTTACCTGCAATGGGAGTTCCCAACTAGCCCTATCATCTGCGAACCGATGGTTCGGCAAATGATGCATGGCGTGGTCCCAATCCTCCGGAGAGAAACTTCACTGTTTAGCGACCTGACAACTAGCCGTACCACCTCAGACATTCCAGCCATCCGGGATTTTGCCCTCATTACGGCCCTCTGCGCCGTCGTCTCCTCCACTCTACCAGCCGAGATATTTCCCGGTGGCGCAGCACTTGCGATGCCGTTCCTCAGGACATCGCGAGAGGCTCTTCGTCTCTACCAGGACTACGACATCGAACACCCAGAGTCGAGCTCAATAATCATCCGGTATTTCCATTCCAACTCATTACATGCTCTCGGAAAGACAAGCGTGTCATGGCACGCCATGGGCGAGGCACTTCAACTGGTGCAAGAGATGCGATTGTACGATGAGGCATCCTTCAGCGGTCTCGAGTGGCCCGAGGCTCAGCTAAGGAGAAACACCTTTTGGCATCTCTATATTGGGGATAAGTCCGCTTCGATTCTTAACAAAGTCCCCATCTCGCTTCACCAGATGTGTCTGGACACGCCTATTACCACCATATTTGACAAGACTGAGGATTGCAAACTCCTTCAGCCCGGTCCCGAAATCGATGATGCTGCCGGTTTTGAGTGCCGATTACGTCTATGTTTTAACCTTTGCTTCCAGCTTTGGTACACAGCTTCCGAGATGCTCGTCGACTTAAACCTCCTTTCACGCCTACACGGCAAAACTGGATCGATTCCCTCAGGTACTTCGAACGATGCATCAGACTTGAAGAAATCTACTATGCAGTCATACTTTGACTTCACCAGTATTATACACAGTTGTCCAGCTTGGGTCCGTGATCCCAAAGCTGCAGTCTTGGGAACGATCAGCGAGTCAACAGCCCAGTTCCGAGTCCGCGCAATATTCATTCAGAAAGCCAACTTATTCGTCACGTTCCACATATTGCGCCTCGTCCTCCTAACTCGCTTCTCTGAACGAGGCTTCATCGAGGTTCTGGGGCTAGTAGATGACCCAGTGATGCTTGCCATGCGAAAAGTCGAGATAGCGAGCGATCTCCTGGGGGCTGTGTCGGACATTCCCTTTGAGGCCCTACAAGCCAACGGAGAGCCTTGCGTAAACACAATCCTCTTTTAAAATTGCGCTGGAAACAAGGACTGACTTTTGAACAGGTTGAAAAGCTCCGACAAGTGGGTGTGGCTCTCCTCGAAATCATCCACAATGTCGGCAACGAGGCCATCTCCACTCGTGCTAGATCCCTCTTTGGCACGCTGTTGGACATTCTAGCCCGGCTAAACTCCAGGATATCAAACGAGCTGAGCAATGATCGCGAGTCATGATTGTGAAAGCGTTCGTCGGCAATTCGGATCGGGGTCATGGTGTGGTCTACAATTCTCCGCGGCGAATTGGTCCACTTCCCCATCTCGGGCCCAGATCCCCCAAGTTGATCAGATGTTCCCATCGGAACGGCATGTGGCTATAAACTTGAAGTTGCTGAGGCCATGAACGTGTGTTTGTTTCATTCCAATTCATTGTTCAGCTGTCAGTCATCCGATTCGTTAAGATCTGAGTTGCAACGATGGGAACGAAGCGCAGTTTCACCAACCCAATTGTGCCTGGGTTCGCGCCAGACCCATCGATCGTGTTTGTCAATGGAGTCTTCTTCATGGTGACTTCATCTTTTCACATCTTTCCTGGGCTACCTATCTACGCCTCAACAGATCTTCAAGAATGGAAGCACATGGATAAGTAGAGATGCATGCGCTACACAGCCAGCGCCTCACTAAGGACGGTCCACGTACATGTGCTTACTGACGACAAGGCAACGCAATCAATCGCAAGGAGCAGATCTCCCTCAAACATGCGAGCACATCAGTGATGCCTTTGGATACAAGGAACATCATGGTCGCCAGTGCCGGCCTCTTTGCGCCAACCATACGCTATCACCAAGGCACTTTCTACATCATTTGCACGAATGCAACGCACGACCAGGACACGTTCGCCCTGGACAACTTCTACATTTCCACTACCGATATCTGTTCAGGTAGATGGTCCGACCCAATTCGTTTCCCTTTCAACGGTATCGACCCCAGTCTGTACTTTGACGACGACGGTCGCGCCTACGTCCAGGGATGCTGGATGATAGACCGCCTCAAACAACCCAGCTGCACGATCAAGCAATTCGAAATTGATATCGCAACGGATAAGGCCATAAGCGACACCTGCGAAATTTGGGGCGGTTTTGCGCGCTACGATACCGAGGGTCCTCATATTTACAAGCGAGGAGGCTACTATTACCTCCTCGTCGCCGAAGGCGGCACCTTTGAGCATCACATGTTGAGCATCGGACGCTCAAAAGACATCTGGGGACCCTACGAGTCGTGCGAGACGAACCCTATCATGACTGCCGATGGGACACCAGACGAGTACATTCAGAATATTGGCCATGGCGAATTGTCCCAGGACCAGAGCGGCGCTTGGTGGGCTGCCGTCCTTGGTGTGCGGAACGAGAACGGTCGTCCGCCGCTTGGGCGGGAAACATTTCTTACCGCGGTCGATTGGCCGGAAGACAGGTGGCCGACGATTCAGCAACCCGCGATGGAGTTATAACGAGTTCTTTCTGGCCCTGTTGGTGGCAGTAAATCACTGATCCACGAGGCTCTGGCAGGTGTTGATCTCGTATACATCCGCGATCCTGAGTTCGACAGGTACCACATTAGCGGCGCGAAAGACTTCACACTGCGGTGCAGTGCAAGCAACTTATCTGCTCCTACCGGTACCAGCACCTTTGTCGGCAAGCGACAGAGATCTATTGTTTTGTTGTTTTTTTTGTTGTTTTTTTTATATTTAACGCCCAGAGATCTATTGATGCCTCTGCTTCTGTAAGACTCAAAGTTGCCAGGGCCACAAGAGGGAAGTCTGTAAGAGCTGGGCTCGCCATTTATAAGGATGCACCGCGGCACGTCTCTCTTTCCTTTGATTTCGAGTCTTCAGAAGTGTTGTTCAAAGTGACGACAACAACAGAGTACAAGCTTCAGTCAACTCCCATTCCAGTAAACGTTGACACAACTGTCCTGGGAATGCGTCTGGAAGCAACTGCGCAGGAGTGCACATTTATGTATCGCGAGAACGATCTGGGGGACTGGATAGAAGCGGGGACGGCGCGAGTTGCCGACTTGGTTGAGAGAGAGATGACAGGTCCGATCTTTGGTGTCTTTGCGCACGCTTTGGTGGAGGAAACCATCGGTTCCGAGGTTCAATTCAGCAGTTTCGTGATAGACAGCAATACGGCGGCAGTTGAATTGAACCCCAGCATTCGGAACAAAATTAAGCATGATTTTGTCAGAGCTGGGTAATTCGAACGAAAAGTCACCGTTGATACGCCGCTTGAGGAGAAATCGGCGTCTTGGTTCGTCCGCATAAGCTGTGGCTGCCCTCGCGTGACGTAGTTCTCCAACTCCCCATCAATTACCGAGGTACGCGATCATCTGCTTGAACATAATCAATGAAAGTTGAAAAGCCTCTCGAGCCCTCGACTCCTGTCACGATAAGTTGAGAGCAGAGCCTGCTTAATCCCTAGCTGCAATAACCCGTACCAATTTACTGACTCTGGTCGATCATTCCCGGGCACGATGGATCCAGCACAACTGCCTCCGTGGGATCTTTCCCCCGGCGTCACCTCTCGCTATGTTGACACTTCACCCGTAGGATTGAAGTTCCATATTCTCGAGTCTCTCCCAAAGGATTCTCCAACCAAGACCCTCCCGCCCCTGATCCTGCTTCTTCACGGCTTCCCAAACCTATCCTTCGACTGGTCTGCTGTCATGCCGAAGCTCGCCGCAGCCGGATACTACGCAGTGGCTCCCGACATGAGAGGCTTCGGTCGGACCCATAACGCCAACCTCAGTCCGATCAGCGAAGAAACCATCCGTCCTCTCACCGCGTTGCGAGATGTGGTGACTCTGGTCCACGCACTCGGCTACGAGACCATTCACACTCTCATCGGGCACGACCTAGGGGCGTTCGTGGCTTCCATGTGCGCTATCACGCGGCCAGATATGATCAAGTCTTTGGTCCTGATGGCGCATCCGTTCAAGGGATCTCCACAACTACCCTTGGGAACGGGAGCAGCGCCGCAATTAGCTTCTTTGCTTCGACCGAAATATGAGGATGGGGGTAAGGTGATCCAAAATGACAATGATATACAATCCTCACTCTTGAGGCTCGACCCACCAAGAAAGCATTACAAGTATTACAACGCTTCGTCAGGAGCAGTCGACGAATGGACTCATCCCACAGGCCAGCCCATGCACGAGTTCCTCCGGGGGTACTTCCATCTCAAATCCGCAGACTACAGTCTGAACAAGCCTCGACCCCTCGAATCCTGGACCGCGCAAGAGATCTCCGTCATGCCACACTACTATGTCATGAGAGCCAACCTATCGATGCGCGGAAACATCGAGCTGGACATGGCACAAGAGTCGGCCGACGTACGAGCCAAGCTCAGTGAAACACCATGGCTCACCGACGCGGAACTACAAGTATATGTGGACGAATACTCCCGAAACACGTTCCGACTCTCTTTGTTGTGGTACAAAGTTCTCATAGACCCGGCCCTGTCCGCAGACCTCCTCTGTTTTGCGGGAACAAAGCTCGCGATCCCGACAAAGTACGTCTCTGGGACACATGACTGGGGTACGTACCAGGTTCCTGGTGCTCTCGAGGCCATGAATAGCGGTGAGAGCGTTCGATCTGATTGCTGGAGGGGGTCCGTCATCATTCCCGGGGCGGGCCACTGGGTCAACATTGAGAAATCTGAGGAGACGGCACAAGAGATACTCAAACTGGCCGGGTCACTATAGCCGTAAGGCATGGCTTTCCTTGGGAAATTGTTGTCCTAGAGTCTTTGTCGGGATTATAATGGGCTTGTTTGCAACAGTACGATTACTTTGTATGATTTTTTTGAGGTTTGAACGAGTCTCATCGTCTACTATACAATGAGCCTGTGGATTTGAGGCGGGTAATTTGGTTCATAAAGCGTTAGCAGGCCGGGGAACAGAAGTCAAACTACTTAATGTGTGAGGGTTTCTTACTGTCCTAATATTATATCTACGAAGTAGTCTTACTCTCAAGTTGCTCTCTTTCCCACCCTCGTGGTGAGAGACATGCCTTGAAGCAGTTCTCAGCTTCGATGATGGAGCGGAATGTAACCAGTGTGATAGATGCCCAACTATCTCCCACATGGACCTCCTTGTTTATACCTGACCGTTTGCACGATGTCTAGTCCATACTAGTCTTCTGTATCCCCTTGACTTCGGGCCATAAGCCTATCTCGTCTTCATAGTGTAAGTCCCGATATCAGACTTCGCTCGAAACAAGGATAGCCATCTCCGAAAACTCCAGTCCTCAATCAAGGTCAAGAGATTGTAGCACGGGTATTCACCTCTGGTCGATAGCAGAAGACGTGTCGTATTCGCTCAAGTTGAATTCGTCTGAACTCACTCAGGGCACCCTGAGGGTTCTCTTTCACCTTGATCAATCTCCGGTAACCACTGATTCACTTAATCGTACCGTACATGGCGTCTCATTCACCATCGTCGTCGGAGATAGATGCCCTACCGGAGATGGCCACCTTTTTCTCATCAGCCTCAAACTCAACTCTCTTGGTATATCTCCGGTTGCTTCACCTTTACACCCTTCTTCCCACGTTTTTCTTCTCTTCTTTCCCAGACCTTCACCTCCCTCTCACTTCTTACATCCCACTTATCCTCTACTTCTACAGTAACTACTTGATTGCCTTCTTCCCATCCTTCCACCACAGGACCCGCCCTTCTGAATTACAAACTTACGACTTACGCCCGACCTCCATTCACAATAATTCTCTGCGGCTGGCCCGATTCAATCTTCTCTCTCATCAATTTCCGCGCGCCCAATTCCGCGAATCAACCCTCGTCAATTCTCGCGCAATCATCACCCACAATTCACCACAAACCACTTACCACCGTAACCGTCAAGATGTGCGTTTCCGAGAAATACGTCTGCGAGTGCAAGTGGCCCAGAGACACGGTCCGACACTGCCAAAACTTCGTCGACACCGGCGTTGTGTGCCCCGGACCCTCAAAGATGATTCTTCTCCACGGCACAGAGGAGCGCAAACATCCAAGTGGCGTCTACAGATGCTCCAATTCCAGCTGCGATCTTTGGGATTTGGTAATGTGTCGAGGTATCCGCCTGAGAGGGCAACGTATAGACCGAGAGTTCGGGCTCGAGCTGGGACGTTGGACGGCCGAGAAGGCGACAAACGCGTTGACGAATGAAGCTATTCCAGCCCAGTCTGGAGGCGAAGGCCATGCTAGCGCCATCGTCATCGCAGAGGACTCCAACCAGGCTTCCGACAACGATGAAGGCCTCGAGGTGCCGCAACCTATCGAACCTGTGGCTGCTGCAGAGCCCGAGCCTCAGCCAGTTCCAGCTACTCCTGAAGGAGCCCAGCACGTCGATGACAGCATGCCCGCCAACATTCCCGAGCCCGAGAAAGACGAAGCTACAGACGATGACTTGGACAATTTGTTTGGCGGTCCTTCGGCTCCCCCCTCTCCCGATATGAGTCTCGTCAAGAATCATCCTACTATCTTTCTCCCAACAGGAGGCGACCTCCCAAGCCCTGCCCTCTCTCAGCCCACCCCCGAGAAACCCATCGTCGAAGGCGATTCCCCTTCACCCGCCGCCAACACGACCGGCAAACAATCAACTCTCCTCATCCTACCAGCACAAGGACCACTTCAGCAGAAGCAGCAGCAGCAACTGCAACAGAAGCAACAGAAGCAACAGAAGCAGTTGCAACCCGTCCCCCAGGTCTCTCAGAAGCTGGCGCCGAAATATACCGCCCAGAATACCACGGCGATGGCGATGGCAATGGGCAACAACACGCCGTCGCCCATCGGCAACCCAGCGGTCCCGCAGACGGCAACACCGCCCCAGGAGGGGGCACAGGTACGGCCGATGAGGCCTACCTTGAGCGGAGCAAACCAAGCGACGCTCAACGCGTTGCGGGCGCATGCTCCCCGCCCCCTCCATGAGGTCTTCCCGTCGAGGGAAGTACTTATACAGGCTCGGATGTTGGCAATGGCATCATCCCCTACCCCCGGGGCACAAAGACAGGCATCTTCTCGCCCTCGCCCGCCCATGGACATGTCGAAGTTCGGAGGACACAAACCCGCCCCCGGAAGCCAGCAGACTGGGAACAACGGCTTTGTCAATGGCCAGGGCAAGGCCTTCAAGGATCCTCGGAAGTCTGGGCCCAGCATCACGTCTATGGGCGGCAATATGGCCAACATCCAGCAGCAGCAGCGTGCAATGTCGCTGGCCGTCCAGATGCCGCCTCAGAATGGCTACACGGCCACCCCTCAGGTCTCTCAGAGACCTATTTCTACGTATACCGCCCAGAATACCATGACAATGGGCAACAATATGCCATCGCCCATGAACCATCAGCAGCGTATGGTACCCCAGGCCCCCGGCATGCCGACCCAGAATGCCCACATGGCTGGGCTGGCCGGGTTCGGTGTCCCTCGGATGCCAGGCACGCCTGGCATCCAGAACCCGGCGGCAATGGGTGTGGGCAATAATATGCCCAATGGGGTCTGGCAGGGGATGTCGGCCCAGGAGATGACGGACCAGGACATTTGGTTGCAGAATATGCTATCGCAGACTACCACGTCCTCCAACTGGCAGGGCATGTCACCTCAGAACGTGCCACATCAAGGTATGCCCTCCAGGGCTACCACACCTCAAAACGGCTACACCACCAGCCCCATGGTCCCTCAACTAGCACCCGCCGGCCTCAATAACTTCGGCCTGAACCTGCAGATGGGGTATCAGGGCATGCCGAACCAAGGGATGTTACCTCAGGGTATGTCACCCCGGGGTATGTCAAACCAGGGCATGGCATATGGGGGTATGGCACCTCGGAGTATGCCAATTCAGGGCATGCCACCCCAGAACGGCTACATGTCTAGCCCTATGGCCCCTCAGATGCGAATGGCACCCACAGCTGGGCCCAACGGCATGCGGGCCCAGCAGGGACTCGGAAACTTGGCCGACATGGCTGCGATGGCGCCCTCACAGCACGCAGGATTGGTGGGACAGTCCTTCCAACCCATGGCCAGTCCTGCCTCCACGGGCAACTGGAACCCGGCTGGATCCCCCCACCCCCAGGCCCCTCCCCAGCCCATCTTCAACGGCCAAATGTTCATTCAGCAGAGCCCCCGGCCTCAGACGCCGCAGATGGCTTCGGGTATGCCTGGGACGCCCGGCACGCCCGGAGTGCCTCCGACGCAGAGGGTCGTCGGCCCAGCCACAGGCCAAAAGAGATCACACTCTGTAATCTCTACTGGCTGCGTCGATCCTCGCATGCTGAGTCAACCTCCTTCAGCACCCGGCGGCATGCCAAACACTTCGCCGGCGAATACGCCTCAGCAGCCGGGGGCGGAAGAGCGCCAGGCTAAGCGGAGGGCGACGTAAATCAACAGCAACCTGAAAGGTATAAGCGATCGAGAACCACATGTCAAATCACCATACATTGACAGCGGCTGTCTACAACAGCCCACATGTGCGAGTCCGGCATGTGCGGCTGTGCCTTTTTCGCGCCAGGTTGTGGTGTAAAAGAAGACTGGCGTTCCCGATTCGTTGAAATACCTCGCCGTTCTGAAGCCGTGAGAAGCAGTATGCCAGACGTAGATCTAAGGGTATCGCCGATCTGGAGTGTAGGTGAGGGGGCGTAGATGAGGGAGTGTAGGGGAGCTTGAGAGGACCGAGGTCGGGGTGTATCAAAAATTATCCTTCTTGTGTATGATAGGATAATTGTTAGGATTGTTGCGGAACGTGCTGTGCTGTCTTAAGGGCACTGAGTAAAACAACTGCAATTTTATGAGATAGGACAATGATACTTGCGTGGGGTGTTCTGTCCTTCCAATTACTTTGAGCGGTGACTACGGATTGAAAGTCGAACATGAGCTAGATGCCTTCGCGATACCAAAATATGTCTGTGGAGTTCACGGTAGGTGACGCAGTGAAGAAGGGGGTTGGGCTTCGGCGCATAGAGAAGCAGGGGAGGACTGCCCACTCACCTCATCGTATGGCCAAACTCATTGAGCCCAATGGCGCTCCAGATCATTGTGGCCAACCCAGCATCAAAATCACATGCATGGTATGGTACACCAGTCAAGTTCATTAAAGGGAGTATAGTCCCAACATTGAAATCTATCTTAACACAGTTGCGGAATAATGCTCGTACATAGTCATAATCATCCCAGAAAAACATGTCTAAACCCCCATTATACCCTTACACCACCCATAAACGTTACGCCGGCCACTCTCCATATATGTTTAATCGCGCAGGTACTTGAGGAGTTGGTCACGCTCCTCAGGCGGCATCGTGCGGATGACATCACGAACACCACGCATGGCGGCGCTCTGGTTGGCTCTCAGCACAGAGCTGAGATCAGCCGCCAGGTTGTCGGCCTTGACGGTTTCGATCCTGTCAGTGACAGACTTGCGGTTGGCCTCGTACCACTCAGCCACCTCACGATCGGCAGTGGAGAAGTTGACGACACCAGACCAGCTCTCGAGAAGCTGGAGGTTGCGGCTGCGGGTCTCGGGAGCCTTGGACTTGTCGTTGCCGGGGGTGGAAGTGAGGACGGTCGACGACATGCGCTTGAGGAGGTACTCCTCGTTGAGACGACGGCGCAGACGCCAGTAAAAGTATCGACGGGAGTTGACCCACTCAAGTTGGTCACGAATGACACCCTTGGCCTTCATGCGACCAGCACGGTCGTGCAGGTCGGCGAATTGGATGGCAACCTGAGAGTAGACGGGCAGAAGCTGCTTCTCGCGGATGGTCATCTTCTTCTTGATCTCGTCGGCCTGCTCCTTGGGCAGATCGGCAGTCATCTGCTTCTTAAGAGAGGCATAGACGGGGTCGAGGCGAGCCATGGTCTCGAGCTGCTTGTCCTTGCGGTACTTGATACCAATGATACCCTCGGGCTCGAGGACACCACCGCGGGCATCGACATCAGCGTACATCTCCATGGCCTCGGGGTTGATGGTGGGGTCGACGACGACCCAAGAACCACCACGAAGCTCTCCGAAGGGAGGAATATAGACGAAGATGGGCTGCTCGTACTTGACGAGGGCATCGACGATGTAGGAACCGTACTTCAAGACCTCGTTGTACATGTCGCGCTGACCGCCAGAGAAACCTCTCCAGTTGGCGAGTATCATCAAAGGCAGTTGCTCACCGTTGTTGAAGTCGTTGATGGCCTGAGCGGTCTTGAAGGCGGAGTTGGGATACCAAACACCACCAGCCTCGTTGGTGATCTGCTCGATGGAGTCGGGGTTGGCGGGATCGGCAGGGGTGATGTTCTCAACGGAGCGGGCCTCGACGGCGATGACACCCATGGGGATACCGCCAAGGCGAGCACGGCCGACGACGACGGTACGGGCCCAGCCGCCGAGAGTCTCGACGAAAGAGTCCTTGTCGAAGAGACCGGCCTCGAAGCCACCGTTGTCGGTGGGTTGACCGCCAATCATCCATCGGACATCGTAAGCCTGCTTCTGGGGAGGAGTGTAGACGACGTCGCGGTCCCAGCCATCAGTGCTAGGGCTGACAGGGATGGGGCTGCCACGCTTCTCGGGGATGAAAGACATCCACTCGACAATCTTGGAGACACCATCGAAGTCGTCGGTACCAGTCATGTGGGAAACACCGTTGCGGTACATGATCTGAGTACCACCAAGCTGCAAGTTGGAGGTGTAGATTTCGCGACCAAGAACGTTGTTCAAGGCAGGGGCACCAGTAAGAATGATGGGCTGGCCCTCGATCTGAACGGCACGCTGACCAAGACGGACAAGGTAGGCACCAATACCGACGGAACGGCAAGTGACCAAGGTGATGGTGAAGATGTCGTTGTAGGCCTTGCTCGTCGCACCAGCGATGAGACCAGATCCTCTCAAGCATTCGACACCAAGGCCGTCCTCCTGGCCGATAATGGTGACAATCTTGTGGCGCTTCTCACCATCCTCAGAGATCTCCTCGGTGATGACGTCCTTGGCGAAGCGCTTCTGGGCCTCATCGTCAAGGTAGAGGTACTTGAAGCCGTTGTCCTGCTTGTTGGCGTCGTTCCACGCAACCTTGAAGAAGGGCATGAGCTCGTTGGCGACACCAAGGCGAGCACCAGAGTTGGCAGACAGGTAGATGCGGGGGATTCCAAGCTTGCGAGCGAGCTCAGTGCACTTGTAGAAGAAGTTGTCTTCCTTGGGACCGAAGGAACCGATCATGTAGGTGATATCGTTGGCAACGACGATGAACTTGCGACCCTTGGGGTACTCGGGGGTCTTGGCGTTGAAGATCCAACCAACCATACCGCAAGTGTTGGTACCAGGCTCGCGGTTAACCTCCTGAAGAGTGTCCTTGTCGTCCAGGACGAGCTCAGTGTACGAGACACACTCGCCAGACTTGGGCTGCTGAACGCCCAGTGCGCCGTGCTTCTTGACCGACTGGGTCCAGGTGTTCTGGATGGCCTGGCGGAAGAGCTCGGGGAAATCATAGACGTACTGGGTACCCATGAGGTGAGCCTTGTAACGCTTGGGCTGCAGAGGGTTCTTGGTGGCATAGGGAGTCGAGACGGGCAACAGGTGCATGGGACCCTTCTCCTTGGTGCCGCCAATGCTGTTGAAGACCCACTCGCCCTTCTCAGACTTGCGCTCAGCGTAAATGTCGACGTCAACAACGTATCCAGAGGTGTTGGTGATGATGACACGCAGAGGGTAAGGGACGCCAGTGTCGGGATCAGTGCAGATGATGCGGATCTCAACCTGAGCGACACGAAGGCGCCAGGCGCGAGCTCCGAAGCGGTCCAGGAAGCCCTGGAGGCTGCTCTCGACCTCCTGGGGGTGGAGCTGGAACACAGGCGTGAAGTTGATGAAGACCTGGTTCAAATCGGAGTTGTTGTTGCCAATGATCTCAAGGGCATCGAAGATATCGTTGATAACACGGTCGGCCTCAGAGATCAAGTACTCAGCAGTGGGGATCTCGTCACGGAGACGGCCGGGACGGATGACAGCGCGAGTGAAATAGCGCTTGTCACCGTCGACAGCCTTGCCAATTCCCTCGTAGACGTGGATGTTCTTGTTCTCAGTGAAGACGGGCTTGATGTGGAACTTGGAGAGCCTTCCGAGCTCGAGCTGGAAAGCAAGAGCGGGCTCACTGTGACGAATGCTGTCATCCTCAACATACTCGGGGCCACGGAAAGTGTAGTAACCAGGGTAGGCACCATCGTTGCGACCGCAGATGAAGGTGATGCGACGAACGTTGCGGTTGAGAAGCTCCTCCTTGTACTGCTCGACAATGGGAACGATGCGAGATAGGATCTCCTGATCGCTCTTGCTCTCGGCATCGCGGACGGCGACGTTGATAACGGCAGAAAGCTCGTCAGAGTCGACCTTGGGGGCAGCAGGCTTGCGCTTGCCGCTCAGATCAGGGATGAGACCAGGGGTGCTGCGCTTCCTGGCCTTCTCAGAGACGGTCAAGGTCTCAAGAGCCTTTCCAAGCAAGTCCTCGGCATCATCGAGGTACTTGACAGGGACAATGACACCCTTGCGGTTGGGCTCGCTTTCCCACTTGTGGTTGAGGTAGGACATGTCGCTGATGGAGTGGATGCGCTTGAAGTCGAATGAGCCGCCGCTGCCGCTGGGAGTAGCGGGTGATGAGGGCGCCGCGGACTGCAGAGGCAGTCCGTACTCACTCTGGCCGATCTTGCGGAGAGCAAAGTCCCAGGTGCAGAAGAGAGGGGTGTCGGACTCGTCGGAGTGGTACTCAATCTGCTTGAGGATGTACGCGCGGTAGGCACGGCGAACGTAGACCTCGAGGGCAGCGAGGGAGACCCAGGGATCCTCGTGGGCGAAGAAAAGAGTCAAGACGTCAAAGACGGTGTACTTGGAATCGACAACCTCCTTGATGACCTCCAGGCTAGGCTCACGGTGGTCCCAGGCGGCCTCACCGTAGCGAGACTCGACAACAGAAGAGCGAAGAATGTGCTCCATCTGGGCCGTACGCTCCTCCAGGGAAGGCAAAGAGCACTGAATCATGATCTCACGGGCCTTGAGAGAGACCTTGGAGGTGGTGCGGGAGGACTGAAGCTCGGTCAACTGCTGCAGAGCATTGCGGAGGTACTTGGCAACGTTTCCGACGTTGGGCTTGTTGGGGCGGTACTCCTCAAGGATGGCGAGGATCAGCGAGCTCTTGGCACCAACACGGCTGTGGGAGAGAACGGTCTGGACAACCTTGCGGATGTCTTCCTTGTTCTGGTCACGAAGCTTGAGGATGACGCTGTCCTCCTGGGTTCCGTAGCCAGTGAACAGACGCTCGATCTCGATGTACGAGGCCAAAAGGTCCTTGATGACGGTCAACTCGTGGGCCTTGGCTCCCTCGGAGTATGCGTTCAGGACGTCAGTCAAGGGTGCCA